CCTACAATTTTATATATGTGCGGAAAATTTATATATAATTAAACGAGTTTTTGTATGATATGAATGAATTATGGAAAAATGATACAGTACTTGTTATTGATAATTTGTGAATCGCGTAATCTGCTATTAAGTAATATTAATATTTGATGTTGATGATTTTGACATTGATCTTGATATTAGTATTCGTAGTATTATGATAGTGAAAATTTTAAGTTATCAACATGTAATTCAAAATATAAAATATTACTACCTTTGGTCCTCAGCATATGATCTAATTGATTAATTTGAAAAGATTAAAAAAATTAGTTAAGTTAGTTATTTGTAATAAATATATATTATTTTTTAGAATATCATTACTAATCATGTGTATTGGCTAGAACTATCATTTGATTAAACTTTTAATATATGCAACTACTACAAAGGCTATTTTGAAAAAAATAGAAAATATGAAAGATAAAGTAGATTATGGTATTATATTTAGGACTAAATTAAAAGTCAATCAAGCTCTTATATTAATAGTAAGAGGTATAGTCTGCTTAAGTTTAAATCACGTACTTAAATTATATATTTTGTCTTATTTTAATTAGGGCGCGTTTTTATTTTTATAATTTGATGGAATTTTAATTTTGGTCTTATAGTTTAAAAAGGATTTGGACTTGAGCTCAAGTAAAAAAAAGCAAAGCACAAACTAATAATTTTTAAAAAAGAAAATTACAATGAGGTCCCAAATAAAAAAATAATTAAAAAATAAGTTTCAGAGATTGTATTCTCACTAAAAAACTTGTTATTATAGGTTGTTGAGATTGTTATTAGAACCTTTTAATTATTTTTTTTTAAAGGGACTTGATTGTAATTTTTTTTAAAAAAATTATGGAATCAAAATCAAAATTCCTTCAGAATTCCATCCGATTACGGCCACTGACAATATGACGGCCAGGAGTAATGTGTGGCGTATAAATGAGGTGTCCAGGACCTTTACGGGGTAAAAGGATCCATGGGGTGAAGGAGAAGGGACGGCATGGTTTAGACTTAAGACGTGGAAGCCTATGAAGGCATGAAGGCGGAGGTGAATACGCAAGAGTCCACCTCATGCTAAGAGTCGTGATCAGCTCCATTAGCTTTACGCCACGTGTATTTGAACTCTGGAGAAGTCGCCATCTTGTTCAGTACTTCAGTTCACATGGTTATCAGTAATCAATATCAAGTGTCCGTTTCGCGCAGGACCGCCCAGGAGGCACCCTGATTATACCATATTATTTGTATGAAAAATAATATTAAATATATTTTTTAGTTGTAAATTGAGTTAAAGTACATAATATTATTTTTTGTTGTTAAAAATATTCAAATTTAATATTACTATTTTAATTATCAACATTAATTTTTTAATATTATAAAATAATATTATTATGATTTTAAACTTTTTAAATATATTTGATCCAAAAGAAATTTTGAAAGCTAGGGCTCCTGAGAAAAGGAAAAACCTCCTCAACAAATTTGCATTTAACCCTTATAAAGTTTATGTGAATGATTGGTAGATTTGTGTAATCATTTAATAAATATTCTTTCCTTTTAAATGTAGTGGCTATTTAGGAAACTGATTTTGATACAAGATTTTAATTTATTTTATATCTTATATTTATTCATTTTTTAAATTAATTTATTTAATTTATAAATTGATATCTAAACTAATTTTATATAAAATTATTCTCCAAAGTATGCTTTTATTCTTTTAACTTTATACAAGGTTTTAATTTGATCTCCTAACTTTAAAAAAATATCTTGCTTTGACATAGGAGATAAGAGGTTTAGAGTCCGTTTGGAATAACTTATAAGTAATTTTTTAATCATAATTTATTAAATATAATGTAAATATATGAGAAGAGTTTTATCTCAACTTACTTAAAATATGCTTATAAGTATTTTTGAATATTATTCCAGACAGGCCCTTAGTCCGTTGCAGCTCCAACTACTAAAATATTCGAATCATGCTGAATAACTTTTATCCCGTAATATTTCACAAAAAAAAAAAAAACACACACACACACACACACTTTTTTTACCTATTCTTTTATTTCTGATGACTCTTTATATTTTATTTGTCCATAAAATTTCAATCATATTTTCATACAACTTTCTTGGATTGATACTACCAACCTATAGATGTGAACATTATTGAGCCTAAACAATAGTAGTAGTAACTACTGATATTTGTTTTTTCTTCCAATTATAACCTTCACATTTATACGCAGCTCATCGTCATTATGGATAAATTTAAATTACAATATAATGTGAAATCCAATCAATGTCGAATGAATAAGGGTGTCTAAATTGTAATAATAAGGATTAATTAAAAATCGAAAGACTCGGTTAAAGAGACATTAGGAAATTAATATTTGCGAAGAGAAAATCTGAGTTCAAGCATATCATTATACATCTTTGATTAATGGATCAAAACATAAAATTTGTGACGATGTTGGCGCCCATTTTAGAAAAATGAGGGGAGTGAAGAAAGTTGAATGTGCCTTCGCAGACATGTTATTTTGCGCTAATCACGCTGAGCAAAGTCTTCAAAGATTAATTATTGTACTATATGTTTTGGCCAAACGCTGAGCAAAGTACGTGAATATTCTTTTCCTGTTCGTGTATATCTAAGGAATATGTACTTTTTTCCCTCCAAATATGTGACAAAATTCTCAAAACTGAATACTATGTCTGTCACTTAATAATCGAGTTAGATAACTAATTTATAAATATTAAAAAATTAGTTAAATTAGTTATTTATAACAAATTAATATTATTTTTTCTAAAATGTTATTATTAATCACATACATTAGAACTGTTAATTGATAAAAAAATTTTAACATGTGTAATCATTAAAGGGATCACTTGAGGATAAAATAAACAAATATTAAAGATAAAATGAACTGAGATTTTATACTTAAGATTAAATTAAATATCTAACACTGGGAGGTAGTAACATTGAATTGTCAACTCATTATGTTTGTGTAACCAAATATTACCTCTTGTTCTTAATATACAAGTTTGTTTGACTTTTATTCTAGTTCTAAATATAAAACTTCAATATATTTTGTCTCTTATATTTATCTTTTTTTCAAAGATAGTTTTTATAATAATAGTAGTTCTAAAGATATTTTAGGAAAAACAATACCTATTTATTACAAATAACTAACTTAACTAATTTTTTTAATTTATTCAAATTAGTTAACTAACTTTTATATTAAATACAGGAGGTAGTAACAAATGACACTTCCCCCGACTTTGACTTGCATATCCTTGGTCTTCTCCTCAGAAAACCGTTTGCATGTCCTAATTACATCTTTAATGCTGCCACACAGATCTTGTTCGAACCTTCCACGTAAGTAATAAAATACTAAAAAAATCACAATTTTTTCCCCTCAAAATAGCAAAGGGGAGATGATTTTTTTCGCAGTTGACTGAGATACCAAAGTTTGGTATGAAGATTTATTTCTTTGGACGGCTGCCAAATTAGATGAGAAGATTACTTAATGTTATCATAACATTTTTTTAACGACGTTCATGAATTTTTTAAACTTCTTAATGTGTAGTATCAAATAATTAACTCGCCATTGTGAATGTCTAAAGTTTAAATAATGAACGGAACCTGGCCAGACACGTGATTGCAGAGAGGCTTTATTGCCCTAATTAGTGCATGTTATTATTATTCCATTGCTGTTATTAGAATATTATCTCGCCATGTGTCTGTCTCCCTTGCTCGTAATTTGATTAATTATTTGCTTATATATAAGATACTTCAATTAATTAAATATTACAGCAACAACGAAAATTACGGCGATATAAATGTGGAGATGAAGAAAACTTCGATCTGCCCATCCTATTCTGAGATCTTCCCTCTTGCTCACAAAAAGAAATGAGATTGTCCATCACAACATCTCAATTTCCAACATCCGTTCTCTCCCATCATGCTTATTGTGTCCGAAGTAAATATTGTGACAGTCGTCCATTTAATTTTGTAGGATTTATTAATAAAAAAATTTGGACGATCATGGTAAATATTTTAATACCAAAATGTTTAAATCCAGACATGCAAATTCTTATTTATACATCTTCACGGGAAAAAAAAAGCATACAGATAAATATATGTGGCACGTAAGAGCTATTTTTGCCATCCATTGAATATGATAGTTATATTTTAGGCCTTTTAAGCATCTTCAAAATAGCAGCATCATTACAAACAAGTATTAATTATATTTATAAATTTATATTAGAACTTATATTTAGGAATAAAATAAAAAATCAGTATTTATAAATAGGGAGTTAGTGATCACGAAGTCATCATTAGACAAACACGATTTTATCATTCATTTGACCTGCTATATTTTTAGACAAATACAATTTTATCGTTCAATTTCCAAAGCTTCTTTTAATTTTATCCTATAATGTTACTTAAAAATTCATAATAAATAACTAAATATGTAAGAATCACACCAAATTGCAAGAGAAACATAAAAATGTGAACGTGTCCCAAGAAAAAAAATTCAATCTAGGAATCTCACAAAAATGATGTATCCGCGTAAATTCGTAACAAACTACAAAAAGTTGACTATGAATGATCAGAATAAATGATACTCCTCCGGTCCTTATTATAAGACCCAATTTGACTTTTTATTTGGTCCTAATTATAAGACCCAATTCATTTTGTCTCTTATATTTATGTATTTTTTTCCAAGATAATCCTTCTAATAATGATAGTTTTAGCCAATATACTTAATTAGCAAGGATATTTTAGGAATGACAACACTTATTTATTATAAATAACCAACTTAACTTACTTTCTTAATCTCCTCAAATAAGTCAATTGGGTCTTATAATTAGGACCGGAAGAGTAATAAAATTCTAAAATAGAGCACTAAAGAAAAAAAAGGATATATACAGTTGACTTGAAAACTCGTATATTCAATGTGCAACTCATCAGTCATCACCACCATCCGATCCCTACCAGTTAGTAATTTAAATATGCCAACATTATTGTCAGAAACCCCACCTTTAATTCCTAAACTACTCTGATCTCTCACATTACCCACAGCTTCGAATTCCGATCCCATCTTCCCCACATTCACACACATTTAAATTAAACATCCTCACTCGCATTTCCATCACAGGCCTATATACAGCTGTACCCAGCAATCGAGCTTGGCCTTCCATGGCGGCCACTCACAGCAGCAACACCAGGGTGAAGAAGATGATGACGTGTCCACGTCCTGATCCGTTAACCAGCCAGCCATCTAATCTCTCCAATTACGAAGGCTACCACGGAGACGAAACCGCTTCAGTTCCGTTCACGTGGGAATGGCAGCCAGGTACTCCCAAGCACCCATTCCGTGAAACCAATATTCCTCCTCTCACTCCTCCTCCGTCTCATTACTCCTACGCTGCTTCTTCTTCTGCTCCGAGACCCTTTGTTAAAGCTCATAAGAACAAGAATTATTCTGCTTCTAAGTCCAGTCTTTTGCAATCTATATTACCCAAGCGTACCTCAAGGAAATCGCGCGGCGCTCCTCCGCCGCTGCCGCCGTCTTCACCTGCTAATTCTTCTTCGCCGTCTCTGTCGTTTTGTTCTTCCTCCTCATCTTCGTCGTCGTCGTCGTATATATCGTGGTGGAGATCGCGTTCCGTGCCCTCTACGCCGATGAGGTGTCCGGGAAAGGAGAAGGAGGATGAAGAAGATGTGTATGATGTGCCTGGCTCGGGTATGTGTTTCGGCAACGCTGGTTTTAGGGGTCGTTATTCCTCCATGATCAAGAAGGTCATGCTCGGAGATCTTCTGTAAAATCTTGCTACAAATATTTTGTTGCTTCTTGTTTGTGAGAGCTAATTGTACTCTGAGAGAACAGTGTGTGGCGCCCACTGTAAAACGCAAAAGCATATGCATAAATTTTAAAGGAATCATTTCCTTCGTTTTCATCAGTATCATAAGTAAATATAGAATATAAAATTTACAATAAATCACACTCTTCTCTTATAACTGGAATAATACGGTTAATTTTTAAGGCTCCATCTAATGCATGGGCTTAGCTTATGTATGATTCGATTTTGGGCCTCACAGTTTATTGTATGAGAAAGAAAAACCAATTAGTGAAAATAAATCATTTTGGGTATTTACCGTCAATTTTCTGTTTTTTTAGGCCAATTAACTTCACCAAACTATATGTGTTTAGTGTTTCAGTTAGTTTACGGTCAATGATTTTTTTTTTGGATAAAATATAGTCGATGAATTGTAATGTTGAAGTACAAACATATACTACTTTTTAATTTTTAAAAAAAGCAAAGAATAATATGAAAAATTGTGTATTGTCTCTCGAAGGTAATTTATTGAGTATACCGATTGGAGGTAAATTAAAGTAATTTAATTATTATATCAAATTCTGAATTAATAATGAGTGGATTAGGAAAAGGGAAAATTCACAAAGCAGAGAGGATACTTTGAGGGAATGAGATTATTGATAGGTATAAAATAAATTCAATGTGTATTTAAAAAAATTATCAATTCATTTTCCTGAATAAAGAATTTTCGCATTATCATTGAGCAGGAGAAATACAAAGAGCTTTGTTAGTTGCCATTGCTATGGTTCCATTAGAAACTACTCCCTCCGGTTTTGTTTATAAGAACCTAATAACTAAATTATATGGTTTAACAAAATAGTTAAAATTAGTTAAAAGTAATAAATATGAAAAAAAACTTTGTTTTCTAAATATGCTCTTATTTATAAGGGATAAGTAAGAGAGCAAAAATATACAAAAGAATATAGTAAACCTTTTAATTAATACAATATATAAAATTAATGAGGAGCAAAAATGGTAAAAATACATTAAATGTTCAAATAATCATAAGTAAAATCTTATAAAAAGGACTATTTGGGTGACTCCCAAAACCATAGTTTGGGTGGAATGTCACCCAAACAGCATTAATTTCGATGCCATAATCTGAAATCATGGTTTGGGCCAAAACCATGGTTTCAGGAGAAGTGAATCTATTCTGCTTCTGGCTCAAATTGGAGAGTATGATTGTGCCTGTCAGAGTAGATCTCAACAATAATATGACTTTAACATCCCTCAATTAATTTTTTATAAACATATTAATCTTATATCTTATGAATATATATACACATATTAATTATTCATTAATTATACTATTTTATGTATTATTAATTATGTTGGTAAAAAATATATTATTAACAATTATATTCCTTCAAATTAAAATATATCATAAAATCTATCTTTTATGTAATTATCATATTAACTTATGTCTTTTTTAGTAATTTGTATATATAAAAAATGCTTCTGATAACAACTATCCAAACACTCTCACTTCTCAGAATCACTTTTTCATAAAATCTATTCTTTATAAAATTTATTCTCTTCAAAATCTATTCTTCAAAAGCTATTCTCCAAACCATAGTTTGGTTTGATCCAAACACCCCCTGAAGCAATTCACATAAGAAAAGATGTTTGTGTCATGTGATGCCATTAATTGCGAAACTATGGAGTCAACGATCTGTATTTCCTTAATTTCAAGATTGCTTTGCAAAGCGAACAAATTTTGCGCAGCACCACATCCAAAAGAAGACGCGTCTTACTTGGTATCATTTCATTTAATATGGACGGTGCCATAACTTAATACCCCTCATTAATTTGCACAAATGTTAACAGTAATCCAATGGTATTTGGTAGGTTATAATATCTAATTGAATAAACATTTATATGTATATATTTATCCATACTATTGATCGATTGAAGCCATAATGTGGGAGAATAAGGGAAGAGAGTTGAACTTTATTTACATGAGAGTTATCTGGATGCCAATTGAAGCTTTGATGCCTTACCGATGATCCTTATGACTCCCACTAATTACACACTAATCCATAATAATTATAATAATAAAAATTTATTTTCTGTTAATCAGCTCTGTGAAAAAATTTAATGACAACTAAAAAGGATGGAAGTTGAGGCCGGCTTCTACCCTACAGCCCACAGGTAATTTTGTTGGGTAAGATGCAATTAGATTATAAGTTCGATTTTTGTTGTTAGGATTAACTTCCATTTTTTATGTTGTGAATCAGTACGAATTAATTATTAACACAATTGCATTTTTTATTCTTTATTAGGCCTGTAACATTTTTTTTTTTGACCTGGACTTCCGATAATATCTTTAATAGCTCATTTATTCAGCTTAAAAAAAAACTATACATAGTTGAAAATATGTTCCTTAATATCAACAAAACATATAATTTTCAAAATACCTGTAAAAGAAAAATTGCACGCAGGAAAATAATTCTTTTGGGTGAAAGGGATTATGGTTCTCTTGTCACATAACTTCAATTTCCTCCTTTCATAAGCTGTTGGAAGTTCAAAACCATTCAATATGTCTGAGATTTTCTTGCACAGTTTCTCATCTGTTTCTTAATTTATTATAAGCTGTTTCCCCAGCTGGGGAATATAGCCGAAGTCCAAAGATTGTTGAGCAGAGCAATCCTCTGATCTTATTGGTCTCTCATAAATGGCTTCCACTTCAAAACTTTCAGTGAGCCAAACAATGAAGAAGTAATAAATCTCTGCACAACATCACAAGAAAACCCAGTCCTTCAAGAGTCTGATATTGACGTTCCAGGCTTGTTTTCCAAAAGTCAATTCCCACCATGCCACCATGACGAAACACGTGTGCAAGTTATTCACAATCTAATCTTCCCATATGCATCGTCATCTTTTTTTCCTTCTTCTATGGGTTCTGTGATTATATGTTATAATATATAGAGCTATCTTCTGTTTATTATATAACAATAGTTTTGACCAACTGTTCCTATTTATCTTGCCTTTTAAGCACTCCTATCCCTGTTCTGTGAAATACTTGCCCACCTGTTTGTGTTTGTGCCTCAAAGAAAGCCCTTCCTCCTTACAGCTTCACCATACAGGTCAAGACAATCAAGAGGCATGCTTGGATGTCCAGAAACAGGTAAATACTTCCAAATAAAGAATTTTCCCCTTGTTTACTTTTCCTTTTTAGGAGAGAACCAATAGGATAATTAAAGCAAAGCTGAAAAATCAGATTTTTGGATTTCTTTTCAGATACCAATTGGACATGGTAAATGGTAATGATTTGTCTCTAAAGACTCAGATTTTTCTTCGATTATTGTTGAACTGACTTTTGATTTCTTTGCTGATTCAAAGAAAGAGCAGAAGAGATAGCGAAGAGCACAGCAGAGGCGGCTGAAGCGTCTTGTCAAATGGGAAGGAGGAATTTCTATGGACCAGCAGCTCCAGGGACAACCTTAAACACGGTCACTCCTTGTGCTGCATGTAAGCTTCTGAGAAGAAGGTGTGCTGAAGAATGCCCTTTCTCTCCTTACTTTTCACCCCATGAGCCTCAGAAGTTCGCTGCTGTTCATAAAGTGTTCGGTGCAAGCAATGTCTCCAAGATGTTAATGGTTCATTCCTCATATCCATCACAAGTTTATATATATATTTTAAGTTTTTGGGAACATTTGAAGTTACTATTTCTTATCAAATTTGTGATTGCATCATATGTAGGAGGTGCCTGACAGCCAAAGGGCAGATGCTGCAAACAGTCTGGTTTATGAAGCTAACCTGAGGCTGAGGGACCCAGTTTATGGATGCATGGGTGCGATATCAGCTTTGCAGCAACAAGTTCAGTCATTACAGGCGGAGCTAAATGCTCTAAGAACTGAGATTATGAAGTACAAGTACAGAGAAGCGGCTAGTCAGATCATTTCTTCTCATGGGGCTTTGGTTTCTTCCGTGGAGGACCCCATTTCTGCAGAATCACAACAAGGTCTTTCTCAACCTCAGCCTCAACCTCATCATCCAAAACCATCATTACCTTCTTCTGCTTCTGTTGTTCTCTCATCTTTGTCTTCATCTTCCAGTTCTTCTGTATACACACCCCCTAAAAGCTCAATCAGCCATGGATCTATCTCCAGCGAAAATGTCCCTTACTTTGTTTAATCCTTCACTATTTGTCAATTCCTGTTAGGACTTATTAACCAGGGTTATCTTTCTATTCTTCTCATCTTAAGGTTTAGCATAAACATTACGATTTGATTTTCATTTGATTTTATGATTAATACATTCTCAGTGTAGGCACAAATAATATGTATTTGGTTCCCTGGGATGGATTTGAATTGATTGCTTACTTTCCAAAGATAGTTCTTTAATGAAGAAAACTGGAAAAAGTCAACTGGTATGGTCTAGGTAATGGTGGAAGTTGAAGATTTCTACAATGGATGCCTTGAGAAACATGATTTAATTATAGAAAAGTTTGAATCTGAAGATCACATGAATGAACAAGTGTGCGATAGTGTTGAAACAATTGGCCATTGCACGTGGGGGTTGGGGAGAGAGTAATACAATGTCTACATTAATATTTGACTAAGATGCTTAAGTTTTAATATCAGAGTCTGTGCCATCTTCTGAAGATTTTGAAGGATTTCAAAGTTGAAAGAGCTTGAAGGAGGAAGAGATAGATAACGGGTAATTAGGGAGCTAGTTTTCCTGTTCACATGTGAATGTTGCACTTTACGTGTATGCATCTAACTTGGTTTGAACTCTTCTGTCTCAGATTTGGAAGGCTCAGATCTCCTCCTCCTCCTTATTAAATTCCCACATGTCTCAGTGTTTATATTAAAAACTGAAAGCTAGGGTCTGTGTCATGTTGTGTACGGATCATATACATACGTATACTTAATTACAAATGATTTTATTGAACAAAATTTAAAAGATTTGATAAATTAAATGCGTATATTTATGACTATATATGACGTATTGGGTGTTTTTCACTTGAGATAAATAATTCATTGGGCATATTGCCATTGGAAATTTAGGCTTTGATGATTATATATGTTTGGGTGAAATTTAAGAAGTACCAAGGAGACTATTAAGCATGTCAGTTATAATTTGATTAATGTCTAACAAGATCCATCTCAAGTATGCTAATCAATTATAATTATTGGAAGGTTAGAGGCGATCATTAGACAACCTTAGAAAGTTAAAACTATTTTATTTTATTTTATAAAACTCCATTAAGTACAAAATAAACTCAAAACAAACAGATATAATATTCAATAATCTAAAATGGGTTCTCACGTAGAGGACGAAGTCTGGTGTAGTTGCATCCAAAGAAATTAGGTAAGGTTGATCATGTTTTGTTGTTATTAATTAGCAATGGAAGGCACAGTGCTTCGAACGATATAATAAAACAATAATTGATGATTAATGAATGAGAAGCTTCGAGATCTAGTGGCCACAAAAGACAAGCAGGTCTCTCTTGCACGATTTCAGACGTTTTGATTTATGACTCTTTCACAAATCACCCAAACACAAAATTATATTCTGATCCCCACTAACTCACGTTGAGTATAGTACTATCTCCGATTCTTAATATGAGATCTTATTTGATTTTTATTTTGATCCTAAATATAAGACCTTAATTTACTTTGTCTTTAATATTTATGTATTTTTTTTTTCAAAAGAGCCCTTCTCATAATAGTAGTTCTAGCCAATACACTTGATTAATAAGGATATTTTAGGAAAGACAACACTTATTTATTACAAATAACTAGCTTAACTTATTTTTTTAATCTTCTCAAATTAGTCAAGTAGCTCTTATAATTAGGACCAGAGGTAGTATGAGATATAGTTTTTTTTTTAAAATTTATTGGTGGTTTAATTCTTGGTCTTATTTATGAAGCAAATTTTATTAGAAAAATGTCCACTTTTAGCCCTTCATCTCTACCCAGATTTTGTTATTAATAAAAAATATTTCTGGCTGCGAACTTAGATTGAGAGGAATGATCGATATGTAATGGCTCTTACCCTCTAGACAAGTGATTGGAAATTCAATTCCCCACTTTCATGAATTGTAAATAGAGGTGGGAGAAATCTTCTCCTTTTCTTTTCACCTTGAGAAAGATTAATCTCTATTATTGACAAATGATACTTAAATTTTTTTTTTGAAACAAACAGAGGCCTCCCAACTTACATATTATTAATCTCAATTTAATAGCATCTGAGTTAGAATAGGATGATTTAGATATTATAATATTTATTGTTTTAAATTTTTATATTTTTAAAAATAAAATATAGAATAAACATGAAATTTCAACTACAAAATGTAACACTTAACTTACATAAATCAAATTTGAATAATAAAAAATAGACCACAGAACCCAAATTCTAAAAGCTGATGTGCTTAAGATTCTGAAAACGAACCCCCCCCCAAAAAAAAAAAAAAAAGTCAATTGTTCTGAACGTGTTGGCAAGTGATAGGACGAGACTTTGACTTTTTGCTGGGCAATAGTAAGGCACATATGAGAGAAAAGTAAAGAAATGATAGTAAATAAGAATAAGAAAAATAATTTCCTTAAATTGTAAGATTTGTTGAATGAATCCATCCAAGTAAGGAGGCGCCATTGAAGTCAAATCTTTTAGCCAAGAAATGTGATATCATGAGGCATTCGATTCCTTGGCGTGTGAAACTCAACCTCAGCTAGTTTTCAAGAATTGGTCCATCCATTAATTAACATATTACAACAAATTAAGCCTCACCAAGTCATACATATAATATGTATAATATCCTTAAACACATGATTTTTTCTTAAAAAATTATTATTCCTTCCATTATTGCTTTTATGTTTTTTATTTTCTGGACAGAAGTTTGTGTGAATGATGTAGTTTATGACTCACCCGTTATCGCTTGAAATATTCCCATCTTGGAGCTTTCATGTCTATGAAATTAATTTGTTTACGTCTCCATTTGGAAGTCTGAATATTGAAGTCTAATATAATAAAGATAATATAGAATAAAAACTCGATAACAAAACGGTAGGTTAAAATGCATTTTTGTCTTCAAAGTATTTTTTTTTATTTAAAAAAATGACATTCTTGAACGAACATAAGGTCAAAGTTGGATTTATGATGCAATTGGCAATGGCATTGCACCAATTGTAGAAGTTTAATTTATATGCTACATTAGTGTACAATCTTTCTTAGGGTGTCAATTATTCTTTCGTGAATACTTGCAAGATTAAAATACTTTGTGTTATGTTATATTTGCAAGATTGTAAAGATGTGACAGAATCTTGGAGGCTGGTTAGGGCAGGCAACTAAATGAAAATGAAACTAGATAATTATTAATTAACTTAATGCATAAAATATCAAAGACAAACACAGCGGCATTTATGCAGGGGTGGGGTTGAGGAGTTATAAGATCAGTAGAAAAAAAGATAATTTAATAAAAAGGTTATGGAGATTCCCAGATATTACTCCTTCGGTCCTAAATATAAGACTTATTTTGTAGTGCAATTTACATTACAAAATGGGTCTTATATTTTGGACCGAAGGAATATAAATTAATTAATTGCCAGTTTTTGGATCTGCTTATAATCAAATACTTCTGGCACTACGTAGAATCATTTTGGTTCCTTTAAGATTCATTAACGTATTAAAGATCTCACATGGAGGTTTCCTAATTAACAATAACAGAGCTGTGATCCACTGGTTTACAACTGATTCGATTTCCGTTTCCCCTTCACAGTTCACACCCACGTGGACAGCTCAGCTCTTGAAGGCTACTAACGAGTCCTCACAGGGAATCATTAAGTTAAATTAACCATTTTGAAATTAAGATGACGCTGTTATGATCTTATTTATAGGATAAAGAGAGTGTTTTTTTTGTTCTTGATACAAGTCACCCCATTAAATTTATTATATGAATGTATAATTTTATCCAAAATTTATTACTCCATTAAATTTAAGAGAATAATAAAGAGACTTAGTATTATTCAAATTTATTATTTTCTTAGACTTTTTAATTTTTTTGGCCAAGTCTTAGACTTTCTATTAAAGTGTGTATATATGATATATCTATTAGATAGAGATAAAATTTAAAAATTGTTAAATTTTAATACAAAATTAATGAGATTTAAGATTCTTTTTTTGGTTCAGTGAAGTCAAATATGTTAAAAGTGCTTCTAAATAAGACTGGAGGGGTATACTCTTTCCTCCATAATATGGGGGGGGGGGGAATTCCGTCAGGTTTAAAAATATAAGTTCAGTTTAATAATATCTATGGCCTTTGGTATTTATTTTCTCACTTTATCCTTCTATATACTGAAACTTTGAAAATAAATAATTAATGTACTATTAACTTTCGTCCCCCCCCCCGGTCAAGGACGTGTGAGTATTTGGAAAGTTTACAAATTATTTACATATTTAATATTATAATTACCTTTTAACTAATATTTTTGGTCCACGCAAGATGGTTAAACCACACTTACACTGTGGACCACAAATGCGTGTATCATTGAAGATTCAGATATAGTTAAGTTTAGTGTTTTCGTGGAGTTTGAATTTGATTATTAAACTTGTTTTATTCTACTCCTTTTCCCTTACTCGTGTCATGAAACACATATAAGTTGTCTTACTATTATTTTCATCTTCTGCTTGATCCAAAATACCATGCCAACTTAATCAAGGGCAAAATTGCTTCAGGGGGCACGAATCTCTCTGTATATTTCACTTCTGTATCTGCATCTGGCTCGTCTCTCTCCCTCTCTGTGAATACAGGAGCCAAACCAGTCGTTTGGACAAAGCAAAAACAAGGCAACAAAAAGAGGGACACCGTTCCATAACTTTGGACATTCTCAATATGAGCCTTATCTGCCACATAAGCAGCTTTACAATGCATGCCTTGTTATTTGTCCAGAAACTAGTCATCCTAAATGCTTGTGCTGTTAATAAAGTGAAATCCGCAACGTACCAGTGAATCCATCTTTCACTTCATAAGCACAAATGACTTTTTCGTTGCTTTCAAAATCATAAACAATATAATTTGAAACAAGACAATTTTCTGCAGGCCGTACGAGAACGGAAAGGTGCCAACCAAGGCAGCCCACCAACCAGAATGTGTCTTTCATGTTGGAGGTGCCCGGTCAAATTTGTACAACCATGGCTCCCAAGATAAGCATTTAGGCATATGTATTATGTACAAGAATCATGTAATATAAAGAATGATTCTTAAGATCAAATTTTAAGGTGGGGAAAATCAAGAAGTCAGATACAGTGTCACTTGGGACACATCACAGAAGCAAACGTGGAAAATCTGAAAGTGCAGCAAGATTCCAATACAGCTCCATCAATTGCAGATATATTACAGTTGTTTGCCTATACAACACCAAGCCCCTTCAAAGCACTAGCAGATTTTCAACTTTACAAATCCAACCATTAATATAACTGATCACTTGGTAGATAAGACCCAAAAGCTGAAGGTAATAAGGATAACAAATTGCAGAATGAGAAGGGGATAATGTAGAAATGCAATCTCAGCAACCTGTAATCATGCTTTTTTGTTCAACTATCACATTTACAATTATTAAAATGATTGTAGATTGTCTGTTGAAAGCTACTCAATGACGCTCACAAGAAGAGAGAGAAAAAGGAAACCGAACCAAAGATAAGAACTAGGCCGCGTATTGTAAAGCTGGCTCCAATAAATAAGACTTGCATTAATATCCTCGTCAAATCTCATTTCACCTTTCAACAGAAAAAATCTCAATTATTTAGCAGACACAACCCTTCAATGGAAACCACTAAAAAGCGAAATAAAAGAAGTAAATGACTCAAAGCCCCCTTCAAGGATCTCATATTCATGGGGCATGATTGAAATCCACCAAGCACAGGGAAATGAATCAACAAATGAAGAGAAAAGGTGAAGAGAGGAGGTACTTGTAGAGAAGAAAGAGACTATTGAATCAATCCATAGGTAGCACAAAACGTTCCCTAAATCGGAATTGAGGGCCCGCAGCATCAAAGGAGCACCACTCATCAAAGTCTTGCAAACTCTACACGGAGAAAACAATAAAAAGAAATTGAAGAAAAGAAGAGGAAGAAGTGCAGAAGATAAAAAGAAAAAAGAAAATGAAAGAAATAAATAAACGGGAAAGAATTCAAACCTTTGATGTTAAGGAAGAATTCCAACCTTCAATAATCACATTGCGGCTTGCTCATGGTAGAGATTGTGAAAAGCGACACTTGCATCACCAGATCTAGGCTTGTAATTTTATTTTTATATTTAGTTGAACTATTTTTTTTAATTTCTTTCACACATAAATATCATTTGCAAAATTAAAACTAATATAATACATGTCAATGCCTTCTCAACATTCAACATTCAAGCAGGCAAAAATGCCAAGTTATGCCATTGCTACTTTCTTTCTCCTGCTCAATTTTTTTTTTTGGGGATAACTTCTCCTGCTCAATTTTTGATCTTGAAAGCAGGTTTTGAATAATTTTTTATATGTTGAAAAATTTTCTCATAGAATTAGAATGATCCATCCGTAGCAGCCTGTACTGCCACAAAGAACTATAGTTAACAAGCAAAGGGTGAAAACAGGACAAAGCAGCTGTAACTAACGGACCAACTAATGGCACCAGGGTATATCCTATAAGAGTCAAGGGAAAAAGGAATCACAGCAAAAGTAAAAGGGCGTCATAGGAAGGGTTTTTGAAAGGAGGCCAGCATAAGAGGGGGAGAAGATCAGAGTAGCAGATAAAGTTGGGTGAAAACAGATGATTTTGTCTATCTAAGAGCAAGTTTTGGTAGGAATATTTTCACCAATGTATTGCTTAAGTGCAAGCAGGTGATGGTTCATGTTTTAATACGTGCATCCAGATTGACCCTAATCTGCCAGATGCATTAGAACCCAATGAAAACTTAAATTTGTTTAACTAGTCTTCACCTCAATGCTCTGACACGCAAAGCAATGCATCATAATCTTAGATATTACTTATGGAGAGGTCAGTGCAGCAGATAATCATTGAATTCTCAAAATAAAATGTTGTTCAAACAACCTCTAGATTCATTCTTATTATTCAATGCTCAATATTATTGGCATTCGTAATTCAACTCAAGTATGGTTTATAACAGAATAATAAGCACTCCAGAAATAAGTTTGCAGTTCCAATAGTGGAAGTGAATAAAGATGCATGTAGCATACAAAAAGATAATTAACAATAATTTCATGGACGTTGAAGCACCTTATTGAATGTCAAAATTGATGACCAATCGGTGCACTTGTTTCAAAGATAACCAACAAAATCAAAGATTAAATATGCATACAAAAAGTATACAAAGCAAATATCAGTCTACAAAGAAAACTCCAGTATCAACCAGTTCATGCTATTCGCACCAGAACCTTGTTCTTTTTGCCTGCCGATAAAAGAAGCACTTTTCCGTCCACTATATCTACAGCCTCTATTCTCTTGTCTTCCTTGTTTACTCGGTTATTGTTCAAGTAAATGCCTCCTTGCTTTAACATTCTGCGCGCAGCAGATTTGCTGTCAAACAAACCAGCAGAAACTGATAGATCAACCAAAGACAAACTCAAAACTTCATCATAAGCTAAAGAGCAAGAGGGGACATCCTCAGCTATCCCCTCAATAGTTTTCCAGTCCAACTTTGTCTGAGATCCTGGCCTTAAGGCTTCTGTTGCCTTAAAAGCGTCATTTAACCCGTCTTCCCCGTGAACGAAACGGGTAACTTCTTCAGCAAGCCTCCGCTGAATGGTATTAGGCACATAACCAGGTTTCGTCATCTCTCTCTCCAAGGCCTCTATCTCTTCAATATCCAAAAAAGTAAGAATTTTCATAAACCTGATCACATCAGCATCAGGAACAGAGAAAAAATACTGGTAAAATTTGTAAGGAGACAAAAAGGCAGGGGATAACCAAATAGCGCCATCCTCGGATTTACCAAATTTGGTACCATCGCTTTTCAGTAGAAGAGGAAATGTCAAGCCATAGGCACCCTCAGCCTGTAATATTTTTCGAATTAACTCAGTCCCAGCAGTTATATTACCCCACTGATCACTACCCCCAATTTGAACATTAACACCCTCGTTCTGGAACAAATGTAAGAAATCATAGCCCTGCAACAACTGGTAAGTGAACTCCGTATAGCTCATTCCTTGTTCCGACTCCAACCTCTTCCTCACACTTTCTTTGGCCATCATTGAACCCACCCTGGCATATCGACCTACTCGTTTCAGAAAATCCAGTAAACTAAACTCCTTCCACCAATCGTAGTTATTCAAAATCACAAGGGAAGAATCGTCGAGATTCGAATTCGCATTCAAGTACAAATTTTGAGTACCACCCAGAATTCTTCTTATAGTGTTACTAATACCTACGATGTTCTTCTCCAGAGTATCGGCATCAAGTTCAGGTCTCTCGAGGGCCTTCCCAGACGGGTCTCCAATACGAGCGGTGGCGCCTCCGATCAGAGCAACAGCTTTATGGCCGCAGCGGCGGAACCACGAGAGCACGATGAGCCCAAGAAGGTTGCCCAAGTGTAGGCTCTCAGCTGTGGGGTCAAAACCACAATAGACCTTGAGGGGTCCAGCAGCAGGGTCCGAACAGGCTGTTTTAAGAGCATCGCTAGTAAGCGACTCAAGTAGGCCTCTTTCCTCAAGGATTTCGACGACATTGGGGCGAAGCACTCGATTCTGTTGCTGAGGGTCAGAGGCAGAAGGTGAGATCTGGAGACTGCAAGTGGCCCTGGTGAATTGAAGACGAAGGCAAGGAGAAAAATTGGAAGAAAAGGAGGAAGAAGAAGAAGCTTTGAAGGAAAAAAGAAAGAGCTTGGTGGGATGGGAGAACAGAAGGGACCTCGAAGCAGAAATGGTGGCCATTCCGCTTGGTCTCCTGACCTTGTTAGGGATATTGAGCGCCCGCAACACTCATGGAAAAGAGTGGTTATTTTTATTTTAAGAACCTAAGAATTCTTTAAATTTTGTAAATTGTAAATATCAAGACCAAAAAAATATTAATTATAGATAAATTTTAGAAACTTCCATAATTCTCAATTAATTATTACTAACGAGTAAGTACTTGTATATTTTATTTTATTTGCAAGAATTTTACGTGTAATCAAATGCTAGATCAGGTAAGGTGTATCAAAGTAAGTTTAATGAAATTATGATAAATCAAGAAAATTAAATCAACATACTTTGAGTTCATTAGGAACTTTTTTTCTTCTTATCAGTTAAAGTCAAAGCTAATTAGGCCATTATATCACTTCTCTTTATTATATTCTTGTAAAAAATGACATGTTTTAAGTATATTTACAATTTATAATTTACAAGAATCATAATTTATGAATAATACTCTTTGCAATAATTTTTATCCATATCCAATTTTTGCCAAATATCCATATCTGATTTAATCCGGAATAAGTTAAAATAAAATCTGTACCCACATCTATGTATATTTAACTGGCATATTCTGTGTATGAGACGCACTTCACACCTGTATTACCCACGAGGGGGGGGGGGAGCCGTTCCTTTTTCTGCTGACTAAGGAAACAGAAAGCCGTTGGAGCGCCACCGCCTTTTTCCGCGAAGTTCGAAACCTGTATCGCTCGTGCCACGAACCCGGTACTGCTCCGTTGCCGACTCTCAAATATCTCATTGTAGTTTTCAGGCTCTCACCCAACTCTCTGTTAGGCTCCAAGATCAATCTTTTGTACTAAATCCATCATTTGGCGATCAAGGCTCAACTCTTCGAGTTCAATTTTTATTGTTCTGTTATTGTTCACAAATTTTTTTTCCCCTTTGTTCGGATTCAAAACGGCATTGATTGAGCCTTCGGCGGAGGACTCATGTTCTGCTCCTTCGCCGTCGTTGCTGGCGAACTGTGCTCGTTATGCCTGCCGATGTGACGGCGAAGAGAGAACGTCAAATGCGGGTTCTGATGTCTCTACTCTAGTATTATTCTGTAAATTTAGTTTTCTTAATTGCTGCAACTAATGTTCGAGACCAGAGAGTGATGCTAAGGTGGTAAATTGATCTTTTTTTTTAAAAAAAAAAAAGTTTGGATTTGGTTTTGCTATGGTATATGTTCAGGTTGGCTGCGATGAGAATTTAATGGGTTTCGTTTTCTGATTCAGTTACTTTTCAGCATCAGATGAGAAAGAAACTCTGTACCATAAAAATCCACTGGTAGATATCAGCCTGGATCAAATATATTGTAGATGTAAAAAACTACAATAAATTCAGGCTCTAGCTCTGTTCTTTGGCCTCGTAAATAAGTAAAGAGGGGAAATTAAGCTTAAAAGAGAAGCTTATAATCACCTTGGCGTAGGTTTAGCTTCAAGTGTTTATTGGCTTCGCTCTGCACTCTGGACAGTGGACACCACGAAAAGAGCCCACATGTGAGTAATAGTGCTCTTGTTCCTTAACTCTCATGCAACAGAATGATGAAGACAACAAAAAGAGACCAGCCAAGTTTATCAGGGAAGTTTTCTTTGAAATGCAGACAGCTAAACAACAACCCGTGATGTGAGGAGAAGGAAGTTCCTAGAGTGGGTGAAAATTTTAAGGGAGAATTACCATGACCTTCAAAGAAAGGAATTTAATTGTCAAAGAAATTTTAATAACAAGTGATCAGTATGAATATATTGTTATTATTTACTTTATAACTTATCATTACATGCTCTTTAGTTGTCAATAAGTTTTAGGATAATTAAATTTCTTTTTTAAAACTTAGATTATAATTCTCCCAAATTCTAATGGCAAACTGGTTTTGGGGACAAATGTTCCAATCAACCCCCACCCTTTTGTTTCAGAATAAATGGTATAATATTGAAAACAAGAAGGAGAATTAAATTCTTGACATTTATAGGAGTTTGTTATTTAAAATTGAGTAATGCCATTCATTTAAAATTTATTTTCTCCATTATTATGTAAATATCCTAGCATAGTAGCATTGGTGGTACAAAAATATATGATACAAGGAATTCAGTTTATTTGAAAACAGAACTAAGAATAAATTGCCTTTGGAGGTAAACTTCCTAGTATTGTTCATGTTTTTAAGGAGAAAAGATGCTACTATTCTTCCCAGGCTGCGGAGTTTTCTGTTTGAAGTATTAGAATTTTTTCTTTGTTCGTTTAATAATGTTTATATTTATAATTATACATTATGTCTAAATCATATGGCTAGATTTTAATATGTCTTTTATGTCAATATTTAAACTTATTATTTGTCCTTTTTATTTTTTTAAAAGTTTACTTTAGTTATCAAATCCTATGCATGTAAGGATCTCCCAAATCTGTGGGCCAAAAAAAAAGTGCCTCCCAAATCTTAACTATTTTATAAAAAAAAAGTGGACAAAAAGCAAAATTCGTCATCTGCTATAGAGATTAGAGAATGACAATAAAGATAAGAAATGAAAAAAAAAATTATAAAAACAGTTGAGGGGGGAAAAAAACTGATTGAAACGATGGCCAAAAATGGCACTGAGAAAGCTGAAAACAATGGAATAAAGGACGAACCCACATCAAATGGCCTTCTCGCTTTACAGCTCATCGTGGCTTCCCTTTCATGAATTTTAAATTCTCTTAATTGAATAAAAATAAAATTGTTGTTAAGTCTTGAAGTATTATTATTTTATCTCCAAGCTTTTTTTCTTTTTACTTCGCCCCCACAACTCGAGCATCTTAACGTTTTTTCTTTTTAGGAAAAAAGCTGATTCAATTTTTTTTGGGTGAAAAAAACTGATTCAATTAATTGAACACAGAAAAGCAAAAAAAAAAAAAAAATGAACGAGAGGAGGATGAATTAAAATCGTTGAACATGGAGTAGTCAGTGCGTTTTTTGGGCAGTCAGAAGTCAGTGATTTTTTTGGCCAGGCTAGTCAGTGGTTGAATAATAGAACGAAGACCAAAAAGAGAAATGGTGATATAGAAACACGACCTTTCTTGATATCTCAAGATTGCCCTAAACGAGCATCCATTCCATTCCTCTGGTGGGTGCGATCACCTCTGGGGGCGTTCACGAACCATCTTGCTGTCATCCATAACTCGTCTTGCGTTTCAACTGTCTCCTCTTCAATTACTGGAACAGGGTCCAGGGGTTCCTAAAAATAGCATCTTTTTCATTGCCTTTCGGTGGGTTAAATCCTTATTTCCTTAAATTTCTCAAATTTTAAGCTCGTGGCTATTTGATTTTATATGCTTTCCTTGATTAAGTTTGTTTTCTTCATGAAAAATGGACAAATATAATACCGGGTTTGAGATGCTATTATTTGTATGAGTTTGCAGTTCTTGTTGCTGTTGTTAGCGAGAATGGTAGAATTCTGGGGATGTATCTGGTTGGAAGATTGTAATTTGTGGCTTCTATGTTGCATTTATTTCGTAATTAGTTAATGCTTGGTAGTTGAATTATATTGCCGTTTTATCATATCTTTTGTTTTGGAATCTATGGCCCTGTGTTCCTTGGCTAATCATGTTCAGCACACTATGGTGTTTTCCCTCTGCAAAATGTAGAATTATGAAGTCCCACTACACTGATAATTCTTTCTTTCAAAATAATGAGAGTTAGTTTGAACTTGCTGGTTAAATTGAGTGGGGTTTATTCAGCAAACCTAGTTAAGCTTAATGTGCTGAATTGGCTCATTTGGAATGTAAATCCAACGGATTTCCTCTGTCCTTTAGCAGCATGCTATCTCACCTCGTTCGTGTTGTATTTGGTTCCAACGAAATGTGAAAGTTTTTAATCAAAAGTTTCTTCCTTTGCATCTTATTTGGGTTTCAGCAATATATTTTTTTTTTCCAAAGAGAATTTTCTATTGTCCATTTGCAAAGGGATTGGAGAGCTCTGCTAAGCGAACAAGTCTCTACTTTTTAACTTGGGAGGACTTCTGGTTGTCAATTTTGTGTTGTTTTTTCCTCTTTTCATCGATATTATTTCATACAAAATAAAAGGAAGGAGAATTATTCCTCGTGGTTATCCATGTTCTTGGTTAATTTCAGAGTATATTGATAGGACGTAGTGAGTTATAGGTCTAGAATAATACCAAGCTCTCATTTGCCACTTTTGTGCCATTCTTTCTGGGGTAAGTTGCTTTTGTGCTGTCTGGTCTGGTAGTGATGGCCAGTCAATGATTTGCATATGTATCTTGTGGAGTAGATGGTTTAAGGTTTCTATAAATAAAATTGATATTCATAGGCACTAGTGCACCACTGCTCTAGTTCACCTGTCTTTTGTGTTTATATTGCGCCTGAATTTCTGGTCTGTTTGTTTTTCTTGTAATGGAGACAGTTAGAATTTTCAAGCGCATGCTGTAATAATTCTCATTTGTTTCTGGGAAGTATCTTATTCATTTCCTTTCAGATCTACAATCAAATTTTCTGTTACTGATGCAGGTGTTATGGAGATATCCTTGTTAAAGGTTCTTATTAATGGCATATCCTCATTTTTGAATCTATCTTTTTCTGGGAATGGGAACTCAGAATTTGTTTCAAAGTATTACCAAAAGGTGGAGGAGACACTTAAGTTCCTCAAGCCTATAGCTGATGCTTTGGTTAATTCTGAATTAGCGTCTGATGAAGTGCTTAACAAGGAATGTGAAGAAGCAGGTCAGGCTGTTGATGAGTTGAGGGAGCTTTTCGGGAATTGGCACCCATTGTCTAGCAAAGTTTACTTTGTAAGTCTCGTATAATAACTTAATAAGTGCTTAAAATTTTAGAGCAGATTTCATATTATCAATTGATAATTCATAGTGAAATAAACTGAGCTTCCATCATGGGGTGGTTGTCTTCTTCCTTCGCCTGTTGCAGTTGTTAACCCTATGGACAATTTTTAGGTAAATATCTTTCGATGTATTACTTTGTCACTTTGTGACTTGCAAGGAGGTCACGCTATTTAGTGCTGTCTTGCATAAGAGGTGCATGGTTAAAATGCCACAAATTAGTCTACATTATATATCATTTCCCTCCATGACTGGATTGGTGTGAAATATGTGAAATATCATTGCTTGAGATCAGTAGCCATCAACCGTTGGAGAAGAATAAGTAAGAATTCTTGTTGTCTGTTAAGTACCTACTGGATTCTCACCACTCCTCTTTCTTGATTATTAGGTTATGCAAGTTGAATCGTTGCTATCTAGGATTCAGACTTCAGCACTCCATATTTTCCAGCAGCTGAAGACTTCTCATCTCAGTCTTCCAGACGAACTGAATACTGTACAAGTCGAGGTGATTTATGTTATTAATATTTTTTTGTTTTAAAAAAAATTATCTCGCCTTTTAGTACAGTTTTCATGTTTTTATTTGCATAGAACTCAATTACAACGTCTACTATCAACTTAAAACTGCAGCACTGTATTGCTAAACTTAAGCTTTTGGGACATGAGGATGAAATCCTGTCAATCATTAAAGAAGCTATTAGCGAACAAGTGGAAGGTGCAGGACCTAGTTCAGAGGTCCTAGCAAACCTTGCTGAGAGCTTGAGCCTGAGGTCTAACGAAGAGATTCTGATTGAGGCTGTAGCCCTTGAAAAGTTGAAGGAGATTGCTGAACAGGCTGAAAAATCTGCTGAAGCTGAGTATATTGATCAATTGATTACTCTTGTAACTCGTATGCATGAGCGTCTTGTTGCGCTTAAGCAAGCCCAGAGCTGTAGCCCAGTTGCAGTACCTCCTGATTTTTGCTGTCCTCTTTCTTTGGAGTTGATGATGGATCCGGTAATTGTGGCTTCAGGGCAAACTTATGAGCGGGCTTTCATCAAGAACTGGATTGATTTGGGACTTACTGTCTGTCCTAAGACACGTCAGACCTTGGCTCACACCAACTTAATACCTAACTACACTGTAAAGGCATTAATTGCAAACTGGTGTGAATCAAACAATGTGAAGCCAGTTGATCCCATAGTGTCCACAAACTTAAATCAATCATCTTTTCTTAATGGGTACGTGGAATCTGGTGCAAACAGGGAATCACCTGTTTTTGCTCATTCTAGGACCAATCTTCCATCCTCTCCAGAGGCAGTTCGCTCTCATTCTTTCAGCTCACCGAGTAAGAGCTTAACCTCTGGAGGAATCCACAGAGAGGGAACATCACCATTTCATCCCCGTTCAACTTCAGAAGGTTCCATAAGTGGCATGGCTAATGGGCAGTGTTTGGATTTTGCAAGAACATCACCCCCGGGTTCTGATGATAGGTCTGCTGGCTCAGATGAGAGGAGTGAGGATTCAGGTGTCCAACCGTCAACGTCTCAATCTATAACTGAATCTTCCAATGCCTATAGCTCTGAACAATCCCAAGCCCATGTTAGAGCAGCTTCTGATTCCAGTGCCCTAGCCAGTGTTCAAGGAACACAAGGTGATGGTCACAGTACTCCCCAGATGTCAACCACTGCTGGCAACAGCAAGGATGTTTCTGTAGGGGTGAATTCTGGGATAGATGCTAATGGTGGTGCAGCTATCGGTGCTCCCCAGAGAGAACCTGAGATCTCACCCCGTGTGGAGACAAGGCCTCGAAACCAAAGTATATGGCGGCGGCCATCAGAAAGATTTGTTCCTAGGGTTGTGCCCTCTGCTGGCGAAACAAGAGCTGATCTTTCTGCTCTTGAAGTCCAGGTTAAGAGTCTGGTTGAGGACTTGAAGAGCGCTTCTCTTGATACTCAAAGGGAGGCAACATCAAGGCTCCGCCTTCTTGCTAAGCACAATATGGATAATAGACTTGTGATTGCAAACTGTGGAGCCATTGACTTGTTGGTTGACTTACTTAAATCAGCTGATACAACAATCCAGGAAAATTCTGTCACAGCACTTCTGAACTTATCAATCAATGACAACAACAAAAGTGCAATTGCAAATGCTGGTGCAATTGATCCTCTAATCCATGTGCTTGAGACCGGGAGCTCTGAAGCCAAGGAGAATTCAGCTGCCACTCTCTTCAGCTTATCAGTGATTGAAGAAAACAAGATCAGGATAGGGAGGTCTGGGGCAATTAGGCCTCTGGTTGATTTATTAGGCAATGGGACTCCAAGAGGAAAGAAAGATGCTGCCACTGCTTTGTTTAACTTGTCAATTTATCATGAAAACAAGGGCCGCATCGTGCAAGCTGGAGCCGTGAAGCACCTTGTGGAATTAATGGATCCGGCGGCTGGAATGGTTGATAAGGCAGTGGCTGTCCTAGCAAACCTTGCCACGATTCAAGAAGGAAGAACTGCCATTGGCAGTGAAGGTGGGATCCCTGTTTTAGTCGAGGTGGTCGAGTTGGGTTCAGCAAGAGGAAAGGAGAATGCAGCGGCAGCTCTACTACATCTTTGCTCAAACAATCCTCGATATTTGGGCACAGTGCTTCAAGAAGGAGCTGTCCCACCATTAGTAGCTTTGTCACAATCAGGCACCCCAAGGGCTAAAGAAAAGGTATGGTTCTTCCAATGTTTTCTCACATTTTAACTGCCTTTTATCTTTATAAATAGTGATGGCACTTTGTTTTTCGGTGTATGTTTAGGCCCAGACTCTCCTCAACCAAATTAGAAATCAAAGACACAATGCTGGGAGATGATGATTTCGAGTTCATGGCCTTTTTGTACCTTAAGAAAAGTTTTGAATCACGTCTTACGGAACATCTCTAAATTAAACTTTGATGGGGCAACAAATAATGCTTGTAAAGGTGATTTGGATTTTTTTTTTTTTTTTGGTTTTTAACTTGCCATGTAGAGGTGAAAAATATTGACGGACGATTGATTGAGTCCTCTTGTAAACTCTACGATGATAAGGAAAATATATACCTGTAAATCTAACTTCTGCTTCAAGAAAAAGAACTACGCCTCATAATAGTGGCAGAGCTTGGGCAGGTCCACGACGGACATACATTGAAGCTTTTTCCTTTGTGGAAGCAGTGTTATATATTGACATATTGATTCGCACATTGGCGTCATGCTTGGTTTTATTCTTTGTCAAGTCAGATTTTCTGTGAGGTTATCAAATTTGTTTATTTTCACGTAATTGTACTGTTAAGTTATTCAGCAAAATTATTAGTGTATATTTCTTTTTTAGATTAAATCATGTGATGCAGAAGTGAAGAAACCCGTCATGCATTTGTCATAATACTTCTTTATGATCCCACAATCCACATGGCCTACATTTCATTCCTCCCTGGGTAATCGCCCTGCTTCAGATGAGAGACTCAAGAATTGTGATTCTGAATCCCCTCAGGCCATTGAAGCATATCCATAATTCTGCGATTGGACTATCTCCTTCACGAAGTCTGCTATTCGTTGACAGATTCTATCATTCTAACGAAACCAGTCACGGAAGTCTATGGCACTGTGCGATGTTTGGATTAACTTTTAGCTTTGCCTGAATCTGCATAAAAATACTTTTTTTTTTCAAGTGATTACAGGAGTTGCCAAACCTCCTCTCAACCCGAATCGCCTCTATGCCTTTCTGTTGCACCACTGCTTTGATAGAAAAATGACGACCTTAGTATTTGTCCGATGTCTAAATTGATACAGGCGTGTAATGCTCGAGATGCATAATTCTATTATATGAGGAGATACATTAGTCCATAGCTACTCTTTCATTATGCTTCCTATTTTTATTGTATGCTTGACAAATGTTTCTGAAGTCTGTTAATTATGCCATTTGTTACCGAAAAAGTCAAATATTACAAAGTTAGGTTTAGATGGTCTATCTCTAATATTTAATATAAGAGTTTATTTGACTTTTATTTTAGTTTTAAATATAAGATTTTAATCCACTTTATCTTTTATATTTATCCATATTTTTTTAAGGTAGTCTTTGTAATAATGATAGTTCTAGTCAATATATTTTATTGGTAAGGATATTTTATGAAAGATAATACATGACTAATTTTTTTAATCTACTCAAATTAATTAACTAGTTTTTATATTAAGCACGAAAGTAGTATAATTTTTTTCCTTGGGAGGAGTCGGAATTAAAAAAAAAATTGTTAAGTCACTTCGCATGCAGATTTTATTATGACGCCACATGTAGAGTTTTTGTTATTCTGTCCATGATCGGATTAATAAACATATCTGTAGATGAACTTACTGAAATAAAGAACATCAAACTAAAACTTATATTTTACTTTTTTTGCCTTGCAGTAAAATACGGTTCTAAACGAAACCGAAGAATTCACAACTTGCCGAGAAATCACTCCGACTCCCACAAACACAATTCAACTGGGCACAACAAAATTATAAAAAACAAGAACAAAAAAAAATTCTCTTTCTTAGTTTCTCCAAATTCTAATCCACCCTCCTACAGTTCCTCCTGATCTGTCCTTTAGAACCAGTCAAGGGCTTGATATCTCCCATCTTGATCATGGCAGCGACGAAGTCAGCGTGGAAGGCCCTGGGATTCTTACTGTAGGCTCGAACCAGCGAGTCAGTGGGTCCGCCATTGAAGAGGACCTGATCAGAGTGAAGGAGGCCCCTCTTGGCAATGAGATTCTTGAAGTAGTGGTTGTCGAAGTTGTTGGGAGTGACGAAGTCGAGGTTTGCAACGTTGTTGTCTCCTGATCCGGTTTTCGCAGGACATGTCCTCCTCCTTGCATTTGCAAATGCTCTGTCTATGTCGGTCTCGTTGTGGATCCGACTTCTGAAACTCGAACACCTTGCCTTTCCTATCGTGTGCGCTCCTTTGTTATGGACAAAAAAGCTTTGTCAGTTAAAAGTTACTGGTAATTATAAATTAAGCTTTCGCAATGTGAATAAAAATATCAAAGCTCTTCTTATGGGAGTGAGGTGGCTTTTAAGCTAAAAACGAGGAATACCAGATAAGGCAACCAGGTCCTTGGCAGAGAGCCCGTGAGATTTGAAGTTGGAGATGAGAGTGTTTAGAGATGAAAATGGAGATGGGATGGCTCCACTGTTTGCAGCTGCCAAGCCAGCGGTCTTTGAATCCCTCCTTCCTAGCTTCACATTCCAATTAGGGCCTCCAAGCTTCGCATATCCATAAACATCAATAACAACTCAAACATCACAGAGAATTACTTAAGTGCCGTGAAAAGTAAAGTGAACTCACAAGAAGAACAGAGTCACGAGCAGCAATGGCTAGAATATCAGCACAAGAGACGACGCCAGGGCATTCTTTCTCCACCTTTGATTTTATGGCATCGATCACTTCAAATCCTCTCGCTGAGTTCTTGTTAGGAAGAGCATTCTTCTCTCCTTTGAACGACCCTGTGTCATCCAGCAGTATTGATGCGTCGCACCCCTGTTTCATGTCAAAACACAATTCAGCATCAAATCTCAGCTTAATTCATCATCTCATCATGAACAGCGCAAATTCAAAGAAAAGCTGCTTTTTCATTTCTTGGTTTGTCCTTTCTTTATTATGTCAAGTGGGGAAGCATGTCTATATTTGAAAGTTCCAAATTATGATGACTAAACTGGGCCATTCCAGTACTAATATCATCATATTGCCGGCAAGCACATAACCAATAAATGACATTAATGATTTATGTACAGATAATTGGCAACTTCGGGGGTGTTTGGAAGCTCAATAATTACTCCTCAGGAGTACTTTTCTACAAATGAAAACAAACTCTTTCACATGTTTCGTATATCGTAAAAATGCTTCTGAAATCATGCTTTTGATCTTACCCAAACGCTTCCTTCATCTAGCTAGACACAATGTCCTTATGGCTAAACTTGTGTGGGTGTGTGTGTGTTCGTTCTTTTTTTTCAAATATCTAAAACGTGGGAGTGGGAAAGATGAAGAGAAGGTAATTAAAAACGAAGTTGTGTTTAAAAGAAGGAGGAAGGTAAAAACAAGGAATAATAATGAAGATGTACGGTGGAGAGAGAGAGTGAAATGAAGACGTTACATTGACGAAGCAGTCATGGAAGAAGAGACGGAGGAGAGAAGCTCCCATGCGACGTTCCTTGGCTATAGCAGAATGGACCACAGATTTCACAGTGTTGAAGACCTTTGGACAGCGCTTTGAATAGAAGTTTGGAGACAGCTGAGCCGAACAGCTCCCCGCCACGATCATCAAGAAGAAAGCTAACCCAACAATGGCTGAACAAGAACGACCCATTATTTCTCGTTCTTGAATACAATCTTCACCAAGCTCAATATATCACTGGTTAATGTAACGTTGATCTGTGAAGATACGAAGGTGGTGAAGGAGCAATTTATAGAGCCCAAAGGAGGAGCGTGGATGTGGGGCCCTTTGCCCTCACTTTCCTCTTCCCTTCTCTCCCCTCTCCTACAGTACCCGTCATCCCCTGTTCGCTTTCTCTTACCTACTCACCACCTCACGGAAGGGAAGTGCATGCAATGAACAGTTCTTTTACGTCTCCATGAAATGACTTGCTGATAAGGATCAAAGTTAAGATTTTTTTTTTTTCAAAAAATATTTTGATGGCCGACAATTATGGTGTGTTTAGATATGCTTGTTAAAATTAAAATCCATTTACGATTTGTTTATTAACAATAATATACACACACATATGGGAATCAACCACTGATTGTAATCAGAGGACAAAGCCCATGTGTGCATGCAGAGTTAATATAATGTAAGGTTTAACAGGGCTCAAATAAAAATGTTTCTAATTAGCAAGTTTTGATCAATTCTCGTGGAACTGATTGAAAATATTAAGTGTAATTAATGAAACGGTCGTATAAGTTAGGTGGGAAAATAATTACTACTATACTAATTAAAAATAATTTCTTAGCTGGAAAACATATTATTGATAAGGGTGAACTGAACTTTCTTCAAACGCTGGGTACCATGCTTAGATTTTCGGGAAGTGTAGGGTCGGCTACTGTTATGGAATTGATCAATTGAAGAATAATACGCCACCATTGACTATTCAAAAGTTGCACAGAGACTACTAATATATAGAATTTCATTTGTTATGAATTTATCAATGAAACGACAGGAACCCTTGTTCCATGCATGTGTTTGCCACGAATCATTAAATAATTCAAAAACAAAATGAGATGGATAAAAGAATATATCCATGTGTAAAAGTTTGAAAGACAGTTGTCAAGCAGCTACTAGCTAGCCAGCTAGCTATTTAAAGCTATGGATGCCCCTCTCAATTATTGAAATGAAGGGTGTGTTTGGATGAAACCAAACCGTGGTTTGGAAAAGTGATTCTGGAGAATAGATTCTGGGAAGAATAGATTTTGTGAAGAATAGATTTTGTAAAAAAGTGATTCTGAGAAGTGAGAGTGTTTAGATAGTTGTTATCAGAAGCACTTTTTATATATACAAATTACTAAAAAAAAGACATAAGTTAATATGATAATTACAGAAAAAATAGATTTTATGATATATTTTAATTTGAAGAAATAAAATTGTTAATAATATGTTTTTTACCAACATAATTAATAATACATAAGATAATATAATTAATAAATAATTAATGTCTATATATATTTATAAAATATAAGATTAAATATATTTATAAAAAAATATGTTTATAAAAAAAATAACAAGATACATATCATATAGACCCTCACACTCTCCCTTTTTTCTCCAAAAGCAAAAAAATTTTGCTTTTTCCAAAACCATGGTTTTGGAGTCAAAACCATGGTTTTGGTTTTTGGAGAGGCTGTTTGGGTAGCATTTTCCCCAAACCATGGTTTGGGTCCCCAAACCATGGTTTGGGGTGCTATCCAAACAGAGCCGAAGTTGGCCTGGCATGTCGATATTCTGTTATATTTTTCTGCTGACGAGTTGCCTCTAATTAACATTTTAAGAATCGTTGGCCAAAAAAAAAAACATTTTAAGAATCAATACTTGTTTAATTTATTTGTGATGAGCACGAAGGTTGACAGTTCCAAAAGCTAATATGTATTATAGCAGACCCATCTTTGTATATTATAACCTCTTCTGTTTGGTTTCTTTTCTACCATTTATTCTTTGATGTTAACAATCAGTTTGTCTTTTTATTAGCGCGAGTGTGCTTCTTCTTTTTTCCTGGGGTGATGACTGATCTCTTTCCGCTTTTTCTCTTTTCTTATAAAAAGATTAATTATATAAAATGAGAAAAATTATACAAGCATATATAATCAGTATACTAGAGTTTAGCTTCGGAAGTGAGGAATTAATAAACAAAATATTCTTTATATAAAGAGAATGATTGAAAAAAGCATAGCTGTTTTGCCTTTCGTCTTTGGCCGTCGGTGTGCTACTTGAGAGGAATAATAAAAGCACCCATATGTATGTATGTGTAGGAGAAAATGACACACAGCATCTATAACTTACGGCGTGGACAAGCAACATTAAAGTTGTTAATTTCAAACCTCAATAATAATTTTGATGGAACGTAGGTTTGATTAACCAGTAGACTAGCGCGTGCATGTACTCACACACACACCCACACTCATGCACACACATACACACTAAAAGAGATTACTTTGTGAGATCGAGGCTCTTGGGTGTGTTTGTGTGATCTTGCTATAATCAAGCATCCCATTAAAGGATTGTGATTTTATAATTTTTTATACAAAAGAATTTTTTTTTGGTAGAAGTTAAATAATTTTTCTTTTTGATTAATTAATTGTTAAAACATACCTAGTCTGATGTGCGGAATATAAAATATACCTACATATATATTATTGAATCTAAAAAACTTAGATTCTATTAACTTCATCTTAAGATTTAATAACTTTTTAATTTTATATCTATTAATAATAAGCTGGAGATAAAATGGTACGCCCGTGTAATAAAGGGACCTTTAATAATAAGTACAAAACAAAGTTTTCTCACTTTTAAGAGTAGTAGATAATTGAGGAGAGAGAGTTTTTACTTTTCACGGGACGGGGAAACTTCTGGGCTCTGATAATGCGTACAGCGGACGATGGATGTTTTGGAGACTACGTTACTTGGATTCTTTTCATTTCACTTCGCGAATTATTGAGGCGAGAAAGCTTCCATCACAATGACTTGACATTATTTAATGGTACGAGTTAGTTGGAAATGCTGTCCTTATACGTGGAATTCTTATCATTCGTTCACGCATTTACAGCCCACTTCCATTCGCATTCTTTGTACCATAAAATTCAAACATCCTCATTATTATCTCCCTTTCTCTTGATCACTGCCTTATCCTCTCTCTAGCTCTTTCACTAGAATTAATTAGCTAATAATAATAAGGATTAACACAAACTTTTATTCTTTAAATTTGTCTTCATTTTAGTTCTGGTTTCTCAAATTTTAAACTGCAGGTTTTGGTCATTCAATTTTCTTTTCATTTATAATATTAATTCCTACAATCTAATAAAAAGTTAGACCATTTTGCTTTTTCAGGGACCAAAACCTATGATTTGAAATTTGAAGGCTCAAAACCAAAATGAGAATAAATTTAAAGGACTAAAGATTATATTAATCCTAATAATAATAATAATAGTATATTTTCTCCCCATCGTCATCAACAGTAGACAATAAGTACCACACCAATTGATTAAATTAGACCCCAGTTGGAATCCATTTTTTGGTCTTATCACTCGTTCTAATTAACGTAGGGGCTGTTTGTTTAAAATTTTAAAATTGTTGTTGGCAAAAAATAAAAATTATTGAATAATTAACAATTTGAGGACCTGATAGCTTTTTTATAATATAAAAAATATTGGTACTCTGTAAATTTTGTATACACAGACTATTAGTAAAATTTGAACACGGAACTCTTCCCTAATTTTTCCTTCAAAATATATCAATAAATGCCGTTTTGACTTAAATAGATGTGATGCTAACTGTGAAATACACATACTGGTCTGCAATTACTCTCTTCTTCTGATCCATGAATTATTAATTAATTAGTTATCGGTCAGCTGCATTTGGTCATGTGGACTGTTTGGCATCATGATTATAAATCATTTAATTAAGGCTTGCCAAATGACAAGTTGTTTATCTCATCAGATCCACGGGCTGATTATTTTATAAAGAAGACTTTTTCTTTAATTACATTTTCGTTTAATTCGTAAATTTTTCTTTATATTAATTAAAATATTAAAATTATATACATAAATGATAGCAGTAATTAATCTGCTAGCTGGTGCATTATTTAACTACTTAATTGTAATTTTCTTTTTGTACCCCTTAATCATTTCATGACCAGCATCATATATATGATCACAAATGACTAGTTATGTGAAAGCTAAATTAAAATATAATTTCACTTATACTTTAAGCAATCCCCAGAACCTCAATAACATATATAATTGATATATTAAGGTGATGTTTTACCACTGAAACGGTTGACCGAGTTTTCAGCAACAGTCTCGTATTCATGTGATGGAAGTATTTAAGATTAGATTTAATAATAATAATAATAATAATAATCATTATCTGATTACTTGTTTATTCCTCTAATCCTATTTATAAGGTTGAAAGAGAATTTTTTTGTCTTATTTATAAGTGACATCATTAAATTTATCATATAAATATATTATTTTATCCTTTATTTATTATTGAGTAGCTTTTATTCTCATATATAAGGTATATAAAATAGGGATGAAGTTGAAAAGTTAGATTTTAAGTGAAAATTAATGAGATTTAATATTTTTCTTATTTCTTGTGAAACATATTAAAAATAATTTATAAAAACTTTTAAAAAAATGGAACACATGCTCTGAGAGAGAGAGGTCTCAAAATTCAAAATCAACTTCACTACTTATTACAGCATCTGACAACGACTAATCAATTCAAAGAACAAAAAAACAAAAGAGATCAATTTGGTGGAGCCAACTTGCAATGGGGAATCATGATGAGTTAGTTAAAAAGTTGGTGTGGCAATATTGATGCGTAATTTGACTGAAGCTGCACAAAAAGTTTGAGAAGGCAGCTGGGAATAGAATACTGATGATCCAATTCTTCAATGGAGGCTTCGCTGTTACGTACCTTTTGCTTTTCACTAAACAACTTCATGCAAAAATTAGTAGGGCCTCCTCGATCACTTCTTCATAAGCCTCCTCAAAAAGTCGTTGAAAAGGTCTTATGAATCGTTAAAAAACAGAAAAGAAACATCATCCTCTGACCTATTCACATATCCAAAATAAGAAGATGTACATTTTTTCCCTTAAAACATAAATACGGAAGGTTTAAGAGAAGAAAAGCAATCTTTATCAGTTGCCCATAAAAGAATATTAGAATTTTTCTGTTCACTAATAATGGAGTAGTTTTTATATTGCAGATTAATTTATAAATCCTCTCAAATGTTCACCATCGATATCTTCAAACACATCATTAACAATACTTTTTGAGTAGTTTAAATTAATGTGCATATACTCTAATAATTTATCAATGATCAAGTTCAGAATAAAGAAATAATTGTCGGGGCAAAGCTAAAAACTAAAAAGCACTGCTAGCTGTACTATAAGTAGGGGGCTTTTTGAAAAGGATAAGTCAATATAGTACTGCACCAACTCAACCAATGGCTGCCCATTGCAATCAAAAACTGCGCCCTTGGACTCTTCACGGGCTGCTCTTTCACTAACCACGCACGCCAACTCAACATTCTTTGATTAACATGTGTACGACAAATAACATATTTAATGTCTCCTATAATATATAAAATTCATTACTTGCACTCCAAATAAAGCAAACTGACCGACTCTCTTTTACAAGCAATAGTGTGTTCTATATTATATTAATATTTGGAAAGTTTTGAACGTGAAAACTGTTCATATCTATCTATCCATTTCATCGTGTCGTTTCATTGATCTTAAACTAGTTAGGCAATCAATTTGAAGGATATTTTTCACGTGAATGCTGAATTTAAATCGTGTTTTGTGATTTTATGTCGAGAGAAACCATGGGAAACGTCACGTTTGGTCACAAAGCTTGGATTGTATGAATGTAGGCTAAATTTGATTGCGTTCAAAGCAATGATTAATTAAAGAAGTTCTTATCTTAAATCTGAATCCTAGGTTGGTAAATGGATTGCCCGCCCCTGTGTGGAATTCTCCAGGATAAAGTAACCACATAGTAAAATAAAAACAAAAGGGATTAAAAAAAATTAATCAGTAGTGACACTAATTGAGTATACAAGTCTCAAGAGAATTATTCAAACCGATTACATATTCTTGGAACGCCAATGGATATTAGAAAAGCTGCACGTGCATTGGCATCCATACGAGGGGGAAATTCAGCTTTGAATAGATGTAGTCCAATCTTGAAGCAGGACCATACATAAATGACCGCTGCTGTGAATTTAATAATGTCGCTATACTATACCCACTCCTCCTCATTTTTCATAAGATGCCAAAATTTGAACGGATTTGGTCATTTTATAAGATTTTAATGAGCAGTATTTGAATATTCAACCTATTTTTATTAATTGTGCTCCTAATTAATTTTCTATTCTCTTTTATACCCTTTTTTTATAGTATATTTTTTATCCTTTATTTTATTTAGTAGTATTTATTTCTCTTATTTACTCCCTTCTAGGGCATATATACTTGCTTAATTTTTACATATTTATTATTTTTAACTAATTTTATCTAGTTTATTAAGCCGTGTAATTTGATTAAAAATATCTTATAAATTTGTGAATAGTTAATTTCGTGAATATAAAATTTGATACTTATCACGACACTTAACAAATCCGACGTGTTGATGTTCTAAATTCAACAAAAGTAGGTATTCATGTGCCGTAGCTATGAATTTACTAGGTAGCTCACATCTCCGAGTAGATAATCATGAAGGTGAAAGCTTGCTTCAATATTAGTTTATGACTTCATATTTCACAACGTGACATTATTTCACCATTGCCACCCTCTGCAATTCAATTGCTTCACGTAAATTTTCACAGCACAGTCAGAGTCGGGCTAATTAATTGAGAACCACGATCTGCACGCACAACACTCACCTAATATACACTGTTTTGTTTTCCCACAACTCACATTCAAATATAAATTTAAGTACTCCTCTGGTCCTAAATATAAAATTTTTGTACTAGTATCTATAAGGGTTTTATATTTAGGATTAGAAGGAATACTTACTTTTGCTAATTAAAACAAGCCACGTAAATTTTAAGTACATATATATATCCTTAGTATTTAATTCAAAAATGCGTATGAATTAAAAATGGTATTTTTAATGCATGATGATTCTTTACATGTCCCTCCAATTCGGGGAGAAAAGCTAACAAATACTAACTCATGCCCTAATTATAAGAGCTAGTTGACTAATTTAAGAAAATTAAAGAAAGAAGTCAAGTTAGTTATTTGAAATAAATATGTGTTATTTTTTCTAAAATATCTTTGCTAATTAAGTGTATTGACTATAACTACCATTGTTAGGAGGACTAGCTTGAAAAAAAATATATAAATATGAGAGACTAAGTGAATTGAGGTTTTATATTTAGGATTAAAATAAAAATTAAATAAAATCTCATATTAAGAACCGAAAATAGTAGGAGTATTTTTTTTGGTCAACGGATTCGTACGAGAATAAAAGTTAGCCGCCCCTAGCTTTGGGAGTCGTTGTCGGTGGCACTACAAGGGGCCTTTTACCTTTTGTTTTGGGCCACACTTGGGCTTATCGCATCAAATATTAGTATAGGTCCAATTTACAATCACATTTGAGGCCCGTTGTTATGGCCCAAAGCAAAAGGTGAGACCCAAAAACATCATCCCTAACAAAACGTGACTTCGTTTGCGATCGAAGAAGCAAGATAAGCGGGTAATTTGCCGGGAGTGAGGAAGACGCCCCTATCCTGAAAACTCTTTGATTATGTATTCACCCCAACGATCGTTTGTGCGTGCACGATCGGCTTCCTCGTCGGACACTGACAGATCAATCCCCGAGGCTAGGGGACTGGAAGCTTCTTTACTGCAATTAATTCAAGACCATAGTCACACCTCTCTCCTACTTCGCCAGCAGACCGGTCTCTCTCTTTCTCTCTTCTCGCATCTCCCCCCCCCCCCGGGGTTTCTGAAATCGATTTTCTGGACGTTTTTGCTTTGCATTTTGTGAATTGACTTGGTCTTGTGATCGAAGCAGAGAAAGCTAAGAAAGAGGCGATAAGAAAAGCGCAGGGTGTTTCGGATCTCTTGGTGGAAACCGTCAATGGCGGAGTACAAGAGTGCTACGTCATCGAGAAGCGCATTGAGCAAGAGATTCGAGCATTGTCTACCACTATTACCCGATTCATGAAGCAGACGGATCAATGGCTTGCCACCACTCATGCTTTGAACACCGCTGTTAAGGTACTTATTTTGAATATGATATGATACCCTCTGCTTCCGTTATATTCAATGTGTATTTTTCTCATCAATTGCATTATACTGAAATTTGACAAGGATATTCTTATTTCATCACCTTAGTGCTATTGTTTTCTTAGTCCTCCAAAACATGCCCCGCCTAAAATTCTAAAATTATTATGACTGTTTATCTGAACTCTACCCTAGGAAATTGGAGACTTTGAAAACTGGATGAAGATCATGGAGTACGATTGTAAAAGTATCACCGCGGCAATCCACAACATTCACCAAGAGTGATCAACTGATCATTGTTTGCGGTGAGTTGTCAACTTGTCGAGCAAATGACCGTGCAGTGTTCTCCTCGTCCTTTCAATTATGTATTAATCTATTGGATTGCATTTGATGTTGTGTTTCATCGGAGTAAACATTTCAAAGATGCAGTTGATTGGTATCCTTATTCTGAATGCGAACAACCACTTGACAAGCATAAATTACACTAGAGAGCAATACATTTTTCCTTGCAATGTTTAATTTTGATGTATTTGGACATCCCCAGTGTTGTGTTCAAATAATGGCGAGATGTTGCATAATGCGAACTAGGTCCGAAAACTCCCAAAAAGGGCTATGGAACATCTAAAATATGATACTTAAGTACTCTTGAAAATTTCGCTTTCTAGATGTAAGTACTCTAGAAGTGTTCCTCTATCCCATGCTATATATGTGATTTTATACAGTTGGCCCAACTTGGTTGTTATGGGTTATAATTTTTTGCCTCTCAGCTTTGACTAAGTATCGGTTCACTTGAAATGATCATCTAGTTTACTGAAACTACAGGTACAGGATAATGAATACTACATCCATTGTCTTCTTTTTGGCCCTCGGGATGCTGAATGGAGATATTATTTACTCCCTGGCAGCTAAGGGGAATTTAACTGGTGTTCAAAGGAAGGGGTAAATTAATGGTTGCTGGAGCAAACAGATCTATGATATCTGAGTTGAATCAAGTCTTCCGCTCTTCCTTTAATGAAAAATGACCTTTTAATTCTGGGGTGGATAATGTTCCTTGGAGATACCTGTACTACCTCCGCAAACACCAATTTACCGTCAATGCCTTTGACTCCTCGAAACATCTTGGCTCAGTGCCTTTGGAGAGTTGAGCTCTATGCTGTCAGATGATCTTGAGATTTCTGTGTTTATGTTTGAACTTGTGAAAAAGTAATATTTTATATTCATATACAATTATACAAATTTGAAGGATAATCACAATGGAGAGCTTGACTACTAGAATATTTTGGTATCCCTTATTTCCACGACTAAGTTGCGTGGACATGAATGATCACCAATCATTGAACTCTAAAGATAAAATTTAGATTTGCTGTCAGAGGTGGGGACGCTTACTGGTTCTTCGCGCGTAAATCAATTCTTTACACTAATATGTTCGAGCGTTGCAGATAAAACAAATACTTTTGCTTTTGGTGAGGACTTTAGCCTCGTGTTGCTTTTAGCTATAATATGAAGCAAGGGGTGTTTGGATTAATTTTTCAAAGATAATTTTATAGGATTCGAGATAAGTATATGAGAGGAGTTTTATCTTGAAAATATTTTTTAAGTGATTTTGAGGTATCCAAATACTTCCTTAATAACAGCGAAAGAGCCAAATGAAGATTTACCCGAAAAGGAGACAAAAGTGTCCCGAGTCCGTATCGTGATCAGGCATTTTACTGGCCCTAAATGTAGCATCCGTCATGAGAGAGATAGCTACCTGATTTATGGAATATTAATATACTGAGACAGTTTCAATATCATTGTAATGACCGCGTTTCGTGTCTAATTAAAAAAAAAATCTGTTTTTGTGTAGGTCAAATGAGCCTACAGTAAGCCCAGGCGCACCGGTGGATGTACACTTTTATTGTTAAATATGACATGGAATTTGTGTCACCCTCCATCGCCATGTGGTTTTAGTCATCTTCACAATCATTACAAGACAGACGGTGTACAGAACGGAAGAGCTGACGATTGACATGGATATTTTGCAGAAACCAGAGGAATTTTTAAATGAAATCTGGGTAACATACTAATTTTATGTGGTTCCATTGGTGACAGTACTTTTATTTTATGCCATCTTGGTAATGTGGATTTACATTGGAGTGCGTACTAATTTTCTGACCTTGTCTGTAAATAGCTATTATTCTATTGGACTATATGTTCTCAATGTAGGGTTTAGCATGCTAGCCTTTCAATTTACTCAGCTGTCTGAGAATGACTATTCGATCATTAGTGCTGATTACAACCAATAAACTAAGTCCTTATTTTTAGTTCCGCATTTCTTTAAGGTTCACAAGGGGATTCATAATAGGGTAAGTATGGGATGAATCAAGGTAGAGACGAAATTGAGCACATCAAACTGTGACCTAGACATTTACACACATATGAGACAAGATATCAATTACAGGATGTGGGTTTTCATTTGAGTATGGGCTAGTTGTTGATAACATATTACCCCTAGAGTCTGCTTGAGAATGCTAGTTGGCTACCGATAACATTTTTAATTCATGGTCTTCTTTCTTGACGGTGCCTCAGCCTTGAAAGAAGGGATTATTCACACCCTTGGTGGGTCTTTTCTATTCAAAGAAAGGGCTTATTCATGCATTCCTTCACACATTAAAACGGAGTGCACTAAATTTCTCTTCTGACTTATCTCCCAAAATCAGAATTTTTTAAGAAAATTTGTGGCCAATTGGCTCATCCCACTGCCAGGAAGATAGTATGTCCCTCTCATGCTTGGTCAACTCAATATTATATGTTGCATGGCTCTATCAGGTTTGTAACTGAGAAACCAGGAGAAAATTTCAAGATGAAATTAAAAAAAAAAATGATGGATCAATCCAAAGTTCCAAGTCAAACCTGTTTAATATTGAAGGATAAGCTCCAAAGTATTTAGCTGCAGCACGCACCAAGATTGCTTACCATAGCATTAATGCTGATTTCTTCATGTTAACTGTACCTCCTCCTGATTGTGGGGATTTAGTAGACCTTGTTAAACAGGCTACTTAAGATGCCCTGTTTCCCCCACTTCCTTCCTAGTTTTTCCAAGCCTGTATTGCTAAATATTATATTATTGCAGATTAAGCTTTTGTACTGGTATTGCTAAATTCGTTGGTAAGGTGTGCACCGTAATTTTCAGGGATTAGCCGTTGACCCTGATCAAGACTCACTCCTCACCACGTAATATTCATTTATACATCGGGCTAATGGCGTAATGCAATGTGATGCGAAGATTCCTCATTTGTGGAGACTGAAATTTTTTAAAAGCTTCAAAATACGTTCGATAGATTAAATATCATTGAAATACCACACTCTTCATAACATTCAAAAAATATAATTTATTACCGTTGAGATTATGACTTTTTCTTTTGTTTTAAGAGGAGGCATGACAAAGTAAGAGTGTTTTAATTTGTGGGGGATCTTATGGTCTAATGATATCAAATACTTTTTTAAAGAATTTTATAAGTGTGAGGTTAAGTTATAAAAGGCATAATAGGTATGTGAGTTATGATAAGAAATATATATATATATATATTTTACATTGAAAATCATTAAAAAAGAAAAACAAAAGGCAACGTGAGAACTCAATACATCAAGAGATTCTTGAAAATCTGAAGTTAAGATGAAGAGCGACGTGAAGCTAAACCCCTGAATATTGACATTATTATTTCATGCATCTGACCTTGATTTTATTTTATTTTTTGACACCACATGATCTGCGTTATTCCTTTTAATAAAGTCTAAATAAAATTTGGTTCTATTTTTTTTTTTCCTTTTTGTTTTTCCCCTCTGGGGTTTTCTATGGGCAGAACATGATGCAACTTCGTCAACATAATTTACTCGGTTTTTGCTGGCTGCCAGCTCGTTGTTAAATTCTTTTTGTTTTTTTTTTTGTTTTTTTGCCAACACGACGTACGTTAACTTCCGATGTAGACAAAGTCTACACAAGGAAAGAATAGATAGCCTGTACTTCTTCCCTCTCTATTTATAAAAAAATTACACACATTAAAGAGAAGATAAAATATATATATATAATATGCAAGAATTATTATTTTTAATTTTTCCCCTCTGTTTAATCTTACGTTATTTAAAATAAAGATAAGAATTTAATCAAGGCCTATAAATAGATGGAGGAATTATTATATAATATCTCATCAAATTCCTACTCCACGCGCCTCCAGGATTTTTGTTCATTTTTTTAGTCATATTCTGGCATTTGGCTTGAATAATATTAATGATCTCACTATCCTTTAAGTTAGAGAATGAATGTGGACCATGGCATGAAAGTTGCATTATCGATTATTATTTGCATCCCTCCATATATTTATCATAGCCAGAATAGCAACAAGCGAAGGAGGATGATCATAAAAAGGGCAAGACCGAATCATCCTGAAGCAACTTAATTAGCGACTGGGTCAACGCTAGCTTATTAATTGACCACAAACTATGAAATAATTAAATAGGATAATTCATGCAACAAGTAAACCAATATCATATTTATGAAGCGACTTAGCCAGCTTGTGACCCCGCCGTATTGTCCCTTCTATTTAAACCCAGTTCCAAAACCTCACGACATATACTCCCAAACTCAAAAACCCATCGAGATATACCTCTTATTAGTTCGTTGATTAGCCTCAGCCTCAAAGCCATCAATGGCTTCTCTGAATCTCCGATCTTTGTCTTTGCTTCTTATCCTGGCTTTAGCCTCCTGCTATATGATCCCCACGTATGCTCAGCTCACTACTGATTTCTACGACAGAATATGTCCTCAGGCTCTTCCAATCATCAGGTCTGTCCTTCATCGTGCAATCCACCGTGAACGACGCATGGGCGCTTCCTTACTGCGTTTGCATTTCCATGACTGCTTCGTCAACGTAAGCTAGCTAGCTACGTACTTAAAACGACTTCTGTTCTTCCTCTTACGTACTTTGCTTCAACTCTATGTATGTTAGTGGTTCATGGAATATATGTGTGTGTATATGTACAGGGATGTGATGGATCAGTTCTGCTAGATGATACCCCTACCTTCACTGGGGAGAAGACAGCCTTCCCAAACATAAACTCCATCAGAGGCTTCGAGGTTGTTGATGAAATCAAGGCAGCTGTCGACAAGGTTTGCAAACGCCCTGTCGTTTCATGTGCTGATATCTTAGCCGTAGCAGCTCGTGATTCTGTCGCCATCGTAAGTACTTCCATATTATATATCTCCATCGCAATACCTTCTTCATGATCTTTAGCTTTTCGTTGAGGTGTTTCTCATTAGGCCTTTGAGTTCCATTATCATTAGATCTCATACTGAAAACATTATATGTGATTCTGTTTACAGTTGGGAGGCCCACTGTTTCATTACCCAGTACTATTAGGAAGAAGGGATGCAAGAACAGCAAGCAGAGACGCTGCAAACATGAACCTTCCTCCTCCATTCTTCAACTTCTCACAGCTTGTCACTAATTTCCAGTCTCATGGGCTAAACCTCAAGGACTTGGTCGTCCTCTCCGGCGGTCACACCATCGGGCTAGCTCGCTGCACCACCTTCCGAGACAGGCTCTACAATGACACCGACATGGACCATAGCTTTCGAGCCAGCCTGACTTGCACTTGTCCCAGAACCGGAGGGGACGACAATCTCGCTCCTTTGGATTTCACTCCGGCGAGAGTTGACACTAACTACTACAGTGCTCTGATCAAGAAGAAGGGTCTTCTTCATTCCGATCAAGAGCTGTTTAGGGGAGATGGTGGTGAAAGTGACAGACTGGTGAAGCGATATAGTAAAAACGTGTTTGCTTTTGCTAAAGATTTTGGAGCTTCCATGATCAAGATGGGTAACATAAAGCCTCTCACAGGATATGAGGGTGAGATTAGGATTAATTGCAGAAAAGTCAACTAAATTAAAACTGCAAAGGTCTCAAACTTTCAAGAATGGTTTCAGTTAAAGCAAAATTTAAAACCATGTCAAGACGAAGTCGGTTGAATTAATAATAATTCACTGGGCAAGGGTAATTATGTACGAGATTTGTGTGTTTCCACAAGTGGAATTTACGAGTCGTTGGTTAAATTTTTCTTGTTCAAGTATTGGTTATGTTTATTTGTCTAAGTGTAAAACCATGCAAATTGTTATTGTCTCACTCTCAATAATAATAATAGTAATGATTTTTTTTTAATCATTACATCTGTGGATGTGAACTTGTGTGTGCCTGTACCGTGTCTCAAATCATCCAGTTAATAAGCACACGCTAAGTAGACGCTGCAGGCAGTCATATATACATTCCATGGATTCCTGAGCTGTAGTTAAATGTAAAGTAAAGAGTGAAGACGAAGAGTTATTGGAACGTGAGAAAGCAAACCTACATTTATGCATCGATATTCTGAGCTTTTCAGCTAAAAATTTACGTGCTATCTTGTCAACTTGTCAATTTAATTAGGCCCATACGATTTCCGACAAAATCTAAAATGCGTTCACTATTCAAAAGTTTTGAATAGTATGACTTCTTATAATATATATGTGTGTATATATGGATGGATGGATGGATTAATGGATATCTTGAAATTAAATTGATTAATACTGCTGATAATTGATGTCTAAGCCATGTTTATTTGTGTAACGTATATTTCAAAGCTCATACGATCATATATTATTATTCCCGTTATTGTTGCTGCTTATGCCACCGCCAAAAGGAGTATTTGCTATTACTGTTACTATTATTATTGTGGCTGTGCACATCATGCTGGCTTATTGCTTTTATAAATATAGATTCCATTCAATATCGTATTCTTCTGCAAGGCTTTGATGAGTTTTGCCCTTCATGGCGCGACGCAGTCTTCTCTACGTTTGGGAATTATCCTTGCTGTTTATTTGTTAGCAGATGTAACTCCGCGCGTCTGCAACAGTCAAAATAAGGCTAGCAATTTTGATGCAGAGAGCATATGACTTGTTAACTTCTATAGAACATAAGAAAATACATTTATTGTCTCTCTATCTCTCTCTCTCACACGCGCGTTTGCTTCACTTTTGTAATCTGATATCCTCGTTCTTTTTATTAGAAATTTAGAATAGGGTCCCTTTAATTTCATAGTAAGATTGTGCTTAGTTTTTTGTGTCGTAAGAAGGCGGCTGGACACTCAAGAGGGAAACAAATCATCACTAAAATTCGATTCAAACCAAACCAGCATGCATATCCATCTCAGTTTTGAGAGAAATGGTATGCGTGATAACACATTACTCGATCATTAATTACTTATAACTAGATCCATATAATACATATTGGGAACCACCAGGAATTAAACATGAAATTACTAAATAGTACATATACCAAGCATATGACAAATTAAATTAAACAGAGCATGTTTTTGCTAAAGACGATGAATCATCATCGATCAGTTAACCTTGCGGCAATCAGTGCGAATCTGACCACTAGAACCAGTCAAAGGGCTAAGGTTTCCCATCTTGACCATGGCACTAGCAAAGTCTTGGAAGAAAGCTGCGGGGTTGTTGCTGTAGGTTGTGACCTGAGAATCGGTGGAGCCACCACTGAAGAGCTGTTGATCCGAATGAAGAAGGCCTTTGTTTTTGACGAGGTTCTTGTAATAAGCGTTGTCGAACAAAACATTGCTGGTCACATCAAGTGGAGACAGGCTGTCGTCGTTGCCAAGGCTAGGACACTTTGATTTCACTGACGTTGCAAAGTCTGTGTCAATGGTGGTTTCGTTGTATATCCGACCTCGGAATAACTGGCATCTGGCTTGTCCTGTCGTGTGACCTCCTACGTACGTACATGTGCATGCAAAATTTCACAATGCCTATTAAGGTTTCATCCAATCACATAATCAGCTCCTTGAACTTATAGTTATCTAAATTTCCATACCTGAGAGGGTCACCATTTCCTTGGCTGTAAAACCCTTCTTGGAAAAAGCTTTAATCAGATCCCCCAGATCCATTAATGGAGATGGGATGTCCTGAGTGGCTGCGTCTTTGCTTGCTGTGGTTGAGTCTCTTCTGCCTAACTCTACTGTCCATGATGGCCCACCCAACTGAGAAAACATACATACATACATATATATATATATATAAGAGTGAGTTCAACGTGTAAATATATTCAACTTTCTGCAGAAAAATCTGAATGTATAAGGCAAGAGCTGTGAATGTTGAGAGATTCATGTAAACTTACGGAGAAAACAGAATCACGAGCTGCAACAGCTAGAATATCGGCACAAGAAACAACTCCTGGACAAGCAGCCTCCAACTTAGATTTTATGTCGTCGATCACTTCAAAACCTCTCAGAGAATTTGTATTAGCGGCTGCTGTCTTCTCGCCTGTGAAGCTTGATGTATCATCTAACAGAACAGATGCATCACATCCCTGTACAGTAGTACAAGTTCATTGCATGAGATATAATTGATTTGTATAGCAATTTTGTTGAGTGTGTGTGTGTGTGTGAATGGCATGAAAATGTGTGAGAGAGAGAGAGAGAGAGAACTTGCATTAACAAAGCAGTCATGGAAATGGAGACGAAGCAAGGAAGCGCCCATGCGATGCTCTTTGTAAACTGCACTGAGCACTGCAGATCTAATGATGGAGAGAGCTTTGGGGCATGAAGTGTCGTAGAAATTTGAAGTTAGCTGAGCTGAGGCCAACCCTAACACCATCAATAACACACACACCCAAGCTCTGTAACAATCTGAGATCGCCATATTCGACTCTGAAACACACCACACTTTCACTAAGTAACTTGTGTTTCTGCGTTTGCACTAACTGTGAGGAAAACAATAGTCCTCGAGGCTTTATTTATAGTGAAGCCATTGAGGCAGGCGCGGTCCATGTTGGACTTTCTTCTCCACCTTGATTAATTATACTCAAAAAAAATATTTGGTCAAATCTATGCTCCTTGGGAAAAAATGCAAATCTTCATACAATTACTTAAAATTCGTGCATGTAGATACAGTATTTTGATATACAAAGATCTGCTCAAATTCTCCATCGTATCCTCAATTATATGATCAGCTAGAGAATTATGATAAATAATAATACTATTCAAATAAACCTTTAAAATTGTACTGATCGATCTCTGATCATAGAACAAGTAAAGTCCATGTATATATATATATACATTATTGTTATATACATACATATATATGTATTAAGGAAACAACAGAAGAGACGGATATTGAAGCTACAGTATGTACGCATCATTATTCTCTGATTAATCAAACTGGTTTGATACCTTTCCATTATCAATATATCCACCAAACATTTGATATAAAGATAGAAACCACATGCATTTATATATATATATATATATATATATATAAAAATACATTGCGTGAGTTTGATACCCTGCTACGGACGTTACGTTATTGGGCATTAATATATAGTTAATATATAGGTACCACTTTTGTATTTCCTCTTTTTCTATGTAACCACTACCCCAATATCGGTGCCTTTGCAACACAATATCCAAGAGTCAATACACAAAGTAAAACACTCTTTTTTTTTAACCTGGTTAAACTTATTAGGGAGGTTTAGGTATAGAACTATAAATATAAACCTATATGGTCTATCCCGAATAGTAGAATATTGCCTAATGATCAGTAGTGGATCGGGGATATATATATATATATATATATATATTCCAACTGAGATCGATGTGTTCAAATTTCCTTTCTCTTTCCTCTATAGAACCATTGCCAACAGCTTTTTTTTTTTTGGGTGAGACGATTAAGTTATGTGTTTGGCTTCTCTACAAGTCTATTTTGGATTATGCATTTAATTACAAATTAGCTTTTTGATTAGTATGTGGGGAGAGAGAGGTGATTGTCATTTAATTTACTGATAGATGTTTTCAAGACACTAATACGCAGAGTTTGATCAGTAGTGAAAAAGTTAGATTCCAAGTTATATATATGTTATGCGCCATGTGAATTGGCTTTAAAATCTATTTAATTCACCAATCCATGAGGCTACCATCTTTTTCCTTTTTTCGGAAACAACCATGATAAGTTACTTTTCTACTAAAAAATTTTATTCAATTTAGACAAATCGAATATTTGTTGCTCGTATAATTAGCATAGATATTTTTACAATTAGTTACATAGAAAATATAACAAAGAAATTAAAGGGGGGTCGAGAATAATATTTTATATATATATATATATATATATATAAAAGAATTGTGGCAAGTAGGAGATTTGGAGTGTGAACAAGTAATAAGAGGGAATCAAATTAAGTCAACCACATGTAACCTTGGACCCAAGTTCTGCAAATCCGCCAAACCCGAGAACATTCCCAGTGTTTGAAATCTTAAACACCACTAGCAGCAAGTATCCATTGTCCACATCACAAATTATGATAACACAGTGATTATCCCCAAATTCGATCGGTATATTTATAGTCTAAAAGGTTCATATTAATCCAGTTTGTCAAAAAAGTAAAAACAAAGAGAGATCTATAATTGCATGAGGACAAAGGAATACCCTAATCAAATCATGCGACATCACAATACTCCTCCGGTCCTCAATATAAGACCCATTTAACTAATTTAATTAGATTAAGTAAATTAGGTAAGTTAGTTAATTATAAGAAAAGTGATGCATTTTTCTCAAAATACCACAATCATCTTTCTTAATACCCCATCTCCTTCTTCTACTTGATTATGGTTGAGGGAGTATCCATAGGGGTAATTTAGAGAAAATTAATAAATATGAGAAATTGGTCCTATATTTAGGACCAAAACCAACTTAAGAATTGGGTCCTATATTAAGGACCGGAAAAGTAATATTTAATTTGGACATCAAAAGTGGAAGTAACAGTGGCCCCACCATAAATGTTTCCTTGGACTCTTCATGTTTAAATATAAGTAGTGATCGATACCTTCCCCCCTTAACAGAAACAAGACAAGATTAGTGGTTTGAAATGGAAATTTGGGGTTAGTTGAAACTTGGAAAATTTGCAAGCAAAGGCATATTGGGGCTTTATGCAAAACTACCTACTACTATCCCTTGACTATACTTAGCCAACGTCCCACTCCTCTCAACTACGCCCGTGCCTTTTTTTTTTTTTTTTAAGTTTTTTTTCACTGTTTGAAATTTTTCACTCTTCACAATACATTTGCATTTTTTGTTGATTTTTTTGCTTATGTTTATCCGGTAATATTTTTGTATTCCTATTTCTTAATCACCCGTAAGGATTCGCTTTTGGCTTTCATTGTTTCTGCATGAGATGGAACGATTTCAACACCGCCATTGTTAGTGAGATCATCCTCTTATCCTTTATTAATTGGGCTACTTGCGCTTATTTGACTCCCGCATTACAATTTTGTTTAAATTAGCAACCAACGAATCATAACTTGTGCAGTGTACAGAAGATATAAATACGTTCTCTTCAAATTCTTCATTTTAAATTTTTCATTTGATTTTCAATTTGCAAGCCTAACAATCGATTTTGATGCTCACCGGATGCTTTGTATAAAACTTTCTCACATTTTAAATACTCAGTCCAGATTTCATGCAATGCACAAAATATTAAATTGTACTAGTTACAGATTGATTCAGCCGATGCTGTGTGAGTGAAGTTTTTAAATTAATTTATAAGATTGATTTCTGACAAAATATGAAATTTAAATCAGTCTCATGATAATTATAAGATTTTTGACTACTTTTCTTAATTTATAAGATTGATCTCTGACAAAATAAGATATTGCAATTTATGTTAAAAAAAATCATGAACCGTATTAAAATCCTCTAAACAAGTATTGAAATGTGAGTCCGAATTGTTCTTTTTTTATTAAATGTGAGTCCGAAATTAAACTTGCCTAAATGTTGTTGTATGGGAAAGAATAAACGATTCCCATTCTCTTGTAAGAAAACTAAAAAATAACTACGTAAATCAAACAGTAGAATATAGGGGATCAAGTGATCAACAAATTCATATAAAAATAGCTTAGTTGGAGTTAATTTCTTTCCTTTTTAGTAATTTGTGTCAGACTTCTATAACCTTGATCGACAAGGTAGCTTCGTTACGTGCACCGCTTCACCAACATCATTTTCTGTTTCTTAGATGTCCTGATTCAGAGACTTGGATAATCTACAACAACGTTTGCTTTCAAAATTACAAAATGAAACTTGCTTTGAAAAAAAATGATCGTATCAGCCTGAGCCCAAAAAAATTCTTCAAAGACCACAACAATCATCATAAATGTCCCGCATCAACTAGACACACACAAGCTCAGCTGGACTTCGAAAAAATAATTCTTGTTATGCGAAACAACAGAAGTTGAAAGAACCGTCACAATTTTATAGCTATCTGGGACTTCGATTTCTAACAAAGCACTCATCTCTTCTCTAAGAATCAAATTATTTTATCGCTAAACAAAATGGCGTATAAAAATTGGCCAGATGGAACGGCCTTGCTGCCTTTCTAGTATGCCTAATCAAGAACCCTTTTTTATTCTGTTTATTACAACACTTAGAACACAAACTTTTCCTCCTCAACACTAGCATCAAGTAATCTATCTCCCATCTCTCGAAGGGCAGATGCTGTGGAATCATTTATTCCCAACAGATACTGCAAGCGAGACAATTTTTCTGGAGGCGGATCTTTCTTCAGGTATATCGTGTACAAATCAGCAAGCTCCTCTGGCACTTCCCATGAGAGTGGCCGAGCAGGTACCGCCTTGTCACAAGCCAGCAAGTCATTGAGTGAGGCAACCTGCATAAAATGCATGAGAGATATTACACCTGCCCATCCGCATGCACATTTGAAACTCGGAAGAAAATGTGACCATAAACACTTACCACTCCTTCACGGTTTCTCTGTCTTAGTAGTGCCACCGCCTGAATGAGTGAGTTTGATAGTCTGCTTTCAGCAAGTTCACGAACTACTCGTCTTGCTTTCTCTTTATTAATGTTGAGATCAGATGGGATTTTCTCATATACTTCCTCCTCATCGAACTCCCCAGTGCCTGATGAGAAAATATCATCTACAGTTTTTTTGAAGAGGGTTTCTCTTAATTTCTCTGAAACCATGCTGTCTAAATCAACATTAGCTTCCTTAAGCTCCCTAATCTGCTTTATGCTGAGCCTTCCTTGTGTTACTGCAGTTTCTATGGCAGCACCCATTTTTGTGGTGGTTATGTTCTTGATTATCTTCTGAGCAAATTCTGCAGGCAATCCTACTTGCTTCTGCAAATCATTAAGCTGCTCCACCCTGGCCTTTGTCAACTGCCCATCAGCCAAGATTACCTCAGCTTGTTGCCTAAAAGCTTGCTCAGCTAGACTCCGATGTACTTCGACAATTTCTTTACCACTCAAACCCAGGATCCCGCCTAGCTGATTTAAAAAAACGTATTCTGAATCATCCTTCTTCGTAGTTATCTGAGCACCAAATGGAATCCTCTTCACTTCACCAGTTAGACAGAAAAGCAAGTATGTCTTGTAAAGGTCAGTTCGGTCTCTTTCTGGAAGGTCGTCTTTGAGAGTTATTTCACTCTGACCAGGCTTCCCCACCTTCGCAGCAAGTTCTTTGTTTGGTTTAATTTTCTTAAGTGTCTGAAGAGATTCCCATTCTTCATCTTCTTCAGTTTGTGGGACTTCCTCAACGGGTTCTTCCTTTGATTCATCAACTGATGTATCAGCAGACTCCCCTTTGATATCCTCCACCAACTCAGTCACAACCAAGGAATTGAATGCTATCATCTTCTTGAGTTCTTTTGCAGACTCTGTACGGTTTCCAGCTGCTCGTGCACGCTTGATATAATTGATAAATATCTTCCTCACCTGTATCATCGTAAAAACAGCATAGCAGGGACAATAAGTCTAATTTAATGTTAAACTAACGGCCATCAAATTCCTGACAAAAGGATACTTACTGCCTTGCTTGCAATAGACATAGCAGTTTCCCTGGTCAATCGCAAACCATGTGCTGCTTTTCTCACTGATTTCTTGATTTCAGCATCGTATCCATCAACCCCTGATGCAATTGCTTCCTTGACAACCTAGTGAACAAAACACGAGAAAAAGCAACCCAGATGAAAGGCATGCGCAGCAGAAATTGAAAAATAACATGACTATGTGATAGTAAGTGGATACATGTCAACAAACTAAACAAATTCACAGTTCAGACTAGCAATATTTTCAAACACGCCACAAGTCCAAAACTACACAGCTTGCTAGCAATGCTTTAACGAGTTCTGTCGTCAAAAGGAGCTATCGCAATATGCCGGGCTAGTGACCAGATATAAATTCCAGGAAATCAATTCAGCGTCTTTCTTGGGTCTTGATCTCCATGCAAGTATTAAAGGAGTGCATCATCATCACAATGTCCACAAGAAAGCCTCTCTCTGCTCTCGTGCAAACTGTACTGGTCATATCAACAAGCCAGGATATAAAAAGGGACATAGGGTCCTTTTGCCTAAACCCCCTTGGGTCTACCTGAGATTGATCTCTCAGTGGGACAAATCACAAACGAGATAGTCATATTGCCGAATAGATAACGTGGATTGCACTTTCGCATGGCAGGACATAGATGTCCTTTTACAAATATGAACATAACCAAGTAAAAGTAAGTGAAGAAGGAGACATTATTACCTTTTCAAACAAACTTCCACAGATATCGGAGTGTGCAGCTTCAACAGTCTGTTGAGGTATACAAAGCATCACACGCAGCCTCAACAAGGCAGAAACATCCTCCTCACTGAGCTCTCCATCAGCTACACATTGCTGAAGCTTTTGCCGGTAAATTTCTTAAAACAATAAATCTATCGTTAGATCCTGATACAATGAAGTGACAATAACAAAAGAAAGATCCGCTTTATGCAAAAACTTGACATTCACAACAAGTAATGATTACTACACCCAACAATATCCTATTTCCAACCCCACGAAGGCAATTATACAGGAGAAATCTGACTGAGTGACCTGTTTGTCTTTATGTTCTTATGCTTCTCCTGATGATATTTTCTATCTGTTTTAAGTGTTCTGACTGCTGACAAACAGGCACATCTATATGTGTTTTACGAACTATAACTGTTTCCCACGCTAGATAGTAACAAAATTTGTGCTATTATTTCATCGCAATTTCAAGGTCCGTATTTCTTGACATGTTATCGATAATTAATTTATTGTGTGATATCACACCTTGCAACGAAAAGGCCCAATTTGCTAGTTATTTATATATTTCACAAGCATATATAACATGGTTAATAATGCAGTCATATCATAAAATTCAAGATAGCTACACTATTAAAAGTATTCTAGAAAATCTACCTTCATGAATTTCACTGGCCTTTTGTGGATCAAAGTGCAATTCATCACAAAGATTTTGAAGGAATGTTGCTTTGCTATCAGCCATTTCTAAATCACCGCCTGAAACAGCCTGTGAAAGCCGTTTACGATATACCTTTGACGTAACATCAAGTGTAATGGCCTCTGCTTCACGTTTGCCCAGCCCAAATATATTTCTTAACTGATTTAATGAAGTAACCTGAAACAAAAGATTGAGGGACACCGGTAAAAAAAAAAAAAAAAAAAAAAACTTTAAGGAAGAATATGGACATCTACATATAGGCCAAGGTTCAGAGTTTTTATCAATAACGAAAGCATCCCCTACTCAAAGTAAAGTTTCTTTTCAAACAAATAACTTGGGAATGTAACAGCAAAACTTGCTCAAATTCAACTTCCAGAGATCATTTATAAAGGATGTACAAAAGTCCATAAGTAATATGTAAATGCAGCCATCATTTACCTTACTATCTTCCATGCGACCACCAGACAAGGCATCTGTAACATATGCTCTATAAAGGAGTTTCAAGTCCTCTATTTTTTTGTCATTGTCATACTCACCACCTACGCCAAAGACCCATAAAAGCCAATATCAATAACCTAATATGAAGAACTTAGGTTCAAAGCTTAGCGGAGAAAAACAACAAAAATAAAGAGCCAGGAATCTTACCAATTAATGAAATTGGACCAACACCACGAGCAAAGCGATCAACATCTGGATGACTCTTCAATGAGACGATTAAATCATTGAATGCCAGTATTTTATCAAGCTCCTCCACGGCCTGACCAACTCCAGGACTGGATAACTCAAATTTGGTTAGAAGGTGAACATTTCACCTTTTCAAATTCCTTACATCAGCAAAAATCAATGCCAAGAACAGAACAAGCCAATGGCAAGACAAAACAGTACCAAATTCACTATTTCACTTGAATATGTACTTTTAGGAATCAGCATAATATTCAAGCTCAGCTATTGAAGTTAGGAAAATCTCATAACATTGGTCACTAAAGAACATGATTATAAGAACTTTTCTTCCTGTGAAGAAGCAATCTTACACTGCTCTGGTGCGGGATTTAAGCATACTAACAGCCTCTGAAATATTTTCCTCAACCAATTTCCTTGTACGCTCCTTGAACAAGCTCTCAGCAAGCTTCAAAGGGAAAAAATCCTCTTGTTTAATAAGCAGTAGAATATACCACCACAACAAACGCACTACTAGTAAGTAAAAGAAAAGTCATATAGCTGAAAATTCTGTTTGAGTTCAAAAAACCACCTCATCAGAAAGGCGATACGAAAGTTGTGCTTCTCTGAGTGCAACAAGTTGTCCTGCATCAATATCTGCCAACAATTTATTGTTTAGAGAACTACATATCGAACTCCAACATGTCAGATAGATTTTCTCTGTTACAAATGATAAGGAATAATAATTCCCAACTATAAGGCTTTACTAGAAGGATAAATGTATGTGTGATTAACTAGAGAACAATGAAGGGTACAAATAATTTCTCCATAGACTGACAATGGGCTACTGCAAATTAAAAGTGAACCAAAGTAGCTTCCTACGATCTTAGCATGAGTGTTAGGCATATTTTAGTAATAAATAAATTGTGCCAGCTCAACATGAGGATTGAGCACAAAATGCTCAAAAATTTTCAATACATTAATGATTATTAAAGGCGTAGATACATCACATAATACCTCTGCCAAGTGATTTCAGCTTGGAAGCATACAATCTCTGGGCATTATCACGAATAGCTACCTCAACCTAAACAATAGAGTATTAACAGATGATCATCAGAAGAAGAAGAGATCACAAGGATAACAAACGAAAAATGAGGATGCACAAATCAGAACAAATGAGATCATATGCATGACAAAACAACAGCAAAGTACAATTCACACTGAATATAAACAGCAATCCCATCATGTTAACAGTCTAGTTGCACATTGCACAAGGAAGCCAGACATAACAAGCAATAGTAATACCTGGGAATCAGTGACCTTGAAAACCCGCTTCCAAGGTAGAAGGAAGGATGATGCTTCCCCAAAAACAAGATTTGACACATATATCAACTTCTGAAATGCCTGCACTTGAGACTCACTAACAGAGATCAAGCTCCAAGATTTAACTCAAAGCCCTAAAGGTTTCTTTTATATAATCAAGATGGTAGTACACTAGACTTACCCGACGCTGTTCAATATCAGCATCACGATCACCAACTTCAAGTCTTTGCCTGAAATATTTCCTACCGATCTGAAGGTGAAGAAGCACCAAAATAGTAAGATATGGAACTGCTTCCATTCCACCAACATTAATAAATATACCCAATCACCACAGGCATACACATAATAAGTACAAGAATACCTCTATATGCATAGAAGCTGCATCTGGATCATCAATTCCTAAAGAATTTTTAAAGTTAATGATCCTATCAACCTCATCACCTTTAAGTTCCTGGCCACCAGGAGGAAGCACAGAAGAGACAAACCTGAATGGCAAGTTCAACGCATGTAAATCATTTGAAACAAAATTCAGTAGCCTTGCAGGAAATCTGAGCCAAATATAACTTGTTTTTCTTGGATAATATCACTGGCATATGCAAAAACTTGATAAGATTAAAAGCCATTAAGTCAAGAAACTTGATAGAATTTGAATTCGTTACTTACTGACAATATATCTCACAAATCTCTGCTTTGAACGCCTCATCTTGCTTGCTGACACCGTATCTGAAAGATTAATTATTTCAAAATAAATGAAGTTGAAAGTTAAGGCGAGGAAAGAATTAAAAAAAAGAAAAAGAAAAAATGAGTTACTGGCAAAGTAAATCATAATAAATTTGATGACGTTAGTAATATCAAAATAAAACGATTACTTGCTATAGAATTCAAAGCAACAGAAATGTATGAATAAACTTGACTGCTATCCCAATAGCACTGGGAGAATGACTACTGTCGCGTCAAGGCAACGACCAATACTAGATTACAATTTCGTCGGTATTACAATTTTAATCAGCTATGACCCGTTTAGCATCACCTAGCTCGGCACTTAAAATTTCATCAGTTTCATAACCCCGTTTAGCAAAGTCGACGGGGAGAAAACAGTTAATTACCGTTGACACTTACTTGTTTGCAATGCTCTCGATGTCTTCCTTCTTCAACCGAGCAGGGTCGTCAAACCCAGCCACATAATTATGCAAATTCACGGCTGCAACATGCGGAGCACACGCATTCAAAGAGTACGCAGCAGCCCCACCCGCCACACCGAGTGCCACAGCACCACCAATGGCAGCATTTCGGTTCCGACCAAACTGAAAACCCAACCCATATCCTGCAGCCACAGCCCCTGCAACGATAATGGCAGATGTGGCCAGCCTCAGGGGCGGCGATAATTTGTCAACGACAACCTCAATTCCCTTGAGCTCCTTCTGCGCTCCGATAATAGATGGGGGAGGCGGGGAAGAAGCAGGTTGGTCAAGGGAGGCCGATGAATTGCGAGGGAAGGAGACCCTGAAACGGCGGCGTTTGGGAAGAGTAGAAGTGGTTCTGATAAAAAGAGGATTTGGATTAAGAAAGGGAGAGGGAAGTGAAGAAGAGTGGTGCTGGAGAGAAGGGGATGTGATGAGATTGGAGGGATTCATGTCTCCTTCTGGGAAAGGAACCAGAGACAACGTCGTGGGAGGTTGCAGATAGAAGCCTATAGGGTTTAACGAAGGAAGAGGATAGACAGGAGTATGGCAGCTCGGACTCGGGGCTACATGAAAGCGAACAAACACTGCAAGCAAGGAAGATCGGCAACTTGCCTTTCCTTTTTATTATTATTTTTTTTTGTTTCCTTCTTTTGGGACAAGTTGAGAGTCCGAAAGAGCGAAATGGGCCTGGAGGAATGCCCGGATTCGATGGTGACCGGCCAGAACGGCATAGCTTCGTTTTTTCATTTGATTTTCCTTGAATTGACATACAATTTTCTCCACACAAAAAAACATATAACAATTATTTTATTTTTAGAAATTAACTAGAAAATTTTTTTTGGCCAAAAAATTAACTAGAACTTGAGATATGCACATAATGTCTATCAAAGATTATTAAATACTTCCTCCAATCATGAATATGAAGTCTTTAAAATTAATTCATAAACTTTTTTTTTTGAAAAAAAATCGTTTAAAGAAAAGAATTATGCATTACATTGCTGCTAAATTTTTAAGGATCCACATAATTGCTCTAAGAATATCTACTGGGTAAAAATATAAAATTAAAATCGGATGCTCTTTGGAGAAGTTACACGGGCCCACAATCCCATGCACCTTAGCAAGATGGAACAATCTTCCAAAGGAAATCTCACGACCGAATTTACGGATTCAAGTAAGCTATGTTATTATTCTCGAGCATGGAAGTGACTTAAGCCGAGGGCGAGAGCTGACTTCACAGTTCGAGCCCAGTTTTCTTCGAAAACAATGGCTCTTTCAAGCCTGCGATTCCCTGTCGTTCCCCTGTTGACGAAAAGCCCTTGCCCGACTTTTCTAAGCTCCGACCCCATTACCCGCCGGAGATGGGTCCGTTGTTGTTCCGTTTCGACTCAAACTTCAACGCAGCCACCTCCTTCAGAATCAGTTTTCAAATGGGAACCTGCCCGCAAGAAAAAGGTCGTTATGCGGATCGGGTACGTGGGTACCAATTACAGGGGTACGAATTTAACATGAGTATCAATCATTTGCGATCATATCTTGGCTCCATTTTCAGATGCCTGAGCTTCCAATATCTTGTCCGCTATCTTTTTCAGGTCTCCAAATGCAGCGAGATGAACATTCATTATCAAGTATGCTTCTCGTTCTTCCCGCACTTTAATACTTTGTCTGATTGGTATTGGCGGCCACTAGATATTGGAAGGACCAATTTAGTGAATGTCCTCGAAAAATTAGTTAAAAAGATTGTGACTTCTAACTTCAAAAGCATGCGGCAGTAAAGTAAACTGCGTAAAGATAGTATTAAAGATTTAAAATTATTCTACGATATATACGACTGTTTCTATTTTATGGTATAAGATGGCTTGGACATAGAGTATTCTGAGCTGTAAGCTGCCCTGCTAGTTTGACGGGGTTCTTACAAAGGTTGTAGTTTAAAATTTGTAGCTGTTGAGAAAGAACTGGAAACTGCCATATTCAAAGCTGGTGGCATCCGAGACAGTAATTTTGGAGATCTGCAAAAAATTGCGTGGGCCAGAAGCAGCCGAACTGATAAAGGGGTAATTTATGATCACATCTGTTTGATGTATTTTGCTTTCGATTTGGTTTTCAGTTTACATGGAGGATAAGATTTCTTATTTCATCCGTTATAGGTTCACTCTCTGGCCACAGTGATATCCTTTAAAATGGAAATTCCAGACAATGCATGGTGCGGAGACCCTTATGGCTTTGCCCTTGCGAATCTTATCAACCCTCATCTTCCATCTGACATCAAAGTCTTTAGCGTTATGCCCTCACAAAGGTAAGGTTTGACATAAGTTCGCTGCTTTGTATTCACAGCATAGGAGAATCTGTAAAGTATCATGGTCACCATGAAAATTTTTAATTTCAATAATACCATAGTGTATTTTTTTCCCCTCCTTATTTATTTATATGACTCATCTCTATAGTATTCTTATTGATGGAAAGATTGGTATTTTATCAACTACCAAAATATGCATGGTTAAAATTTGTTCTATTGCTGTTCCTGAAGAAAGTTAATAAAAGCAAGAGATGATTATGATGAAATTCTATTATTATGCAGCAGCGTTTATAGGTTTCTCCTTTCGTTTTTTCACCCTTATTAATTCAACTTGTCTCTTGAGCTTAGGAGCTTTGATCCAAGGAGGGAGTGTAATTTGAGGAGGTATTCCTACCTCCTTCCTTCCGAAACTATTGGCATCCAAAGCCACTCTGGCAGTGATGAGATTGATTATCACATATCAGAATTTAACGATGTTCTAAATGCTTTTGAGGTGTGTGGGATTAGTCATTTTTAAATCTTGTGAACTTCTTTTTTTTGTTGCCTCTAGCTACTGAAGTCTTCTTGATGAGTTCTTAACACTTGTTAGGACAGGTTTTCCTCAATCCTCATATTAGTTAATTTCTGACAATCAGTGCATGGATTTAATGACTGATCACTCACTGCTGTCCCGACATCCTAAATTACTCATTGTCCTAAAAGTCGACATGGAGATAGATGTTGGGTGCACTTATTAACCTTCAATCATGCTTGTTTATCTTTATTGGACTCCTATGTGGAAGCATACTAGATCTTTGAGATTTGTGATTGAAGCCGGGCTTAGGTCTTTTTGTCATATTCTGTGTGATGCTTATCTTATGTATAGATGTTTTTACTTTGATATTATTAGCATTGTTTGATTAATATCTATTTTTTTATAGGGCGAACATCCTTTTCATAACTATACAGCACGGTCCAGGTATCGGAAACATTTTCCTCATAGACAGTCATCATCAGAGAGTAGCATGTCAGCAAAAGTGATCTCGTCAAACTCTGAATCTGAAGAAGATGATAGTGATGGAGAAAATTTTCAAATTGACGAGGTATTTACAACAAATGTAACGAGGCCCAGGCAGCAGTCCTCTGAAACTTGTGATTTGGGTGAACCTTCCATTGGCTCTAGCAATAATAATAATTTGCATGATCACAACTCCAATTTAGTTCGTGCAAAATGGTTGTATGAACCTGATGAAGCAGATAGATTGAGTGCTTCTCATTTCAGAAAAGTTTTTCGCTGCTCCTGTGGAAATCTGGAAGGGCTGCTTAAATACAATTATGTTGAAGTCTCCATATGGGGAGAGTCTTTCATGCTGCATCAGGTAGATTTTTGTTTTCTTATTATTCTTCTTCAACTCCTGACCCTTGGAGAACTTGCTATCCATTTGTTTTCTTCTTTCTCTTTAACTACTCTGGTTGTTCAACATTAATAAATATTGACGGGGCATGCATCTGTGTTAACTTAGATATGTGGTCATCGTCTACTTGAGGTGGTATGAGCGTAAAAACAAGCAAGATTGAGTCACTCCCTTTATATCTTCTCAGTTTGAAGTTACTTCATCGCCTCTTACTATTCATTATATTCATTTAAAAATTGAAGATCACTGTGCATAAGTAGCCACTAGCCTACATACGTGTTGAACTCTTTAGGCATAAATAATATTGATGCGCAAAAATGCGTGCAGAAAATTAAATAATGACCACTGCTGAAGTAATTTAAATTATGTGAAAAAACTTACTATTACCTTTTAGGCTTAACAATATTTAGCTTTCGACAGAAATGGTCATGTACAGCAAATATACATCCTTTATCACTTGTTTAAGACCCATATGCTGATATGTTGACCCTTCACTGGACCATTCACCATCATATTGTGTTTCTCTTTTAAAGACTTTGCTTAGATGTATCTGTGTTGCTTTTGTTCCTTCACAAGCATCACATCATTTTATTCTCTCACCAGATACGGAAAATGGTTGGGACAGCTGTGGCGGTGAAACGCAAATTACTGCCTAGGGACGTTCTAGAACTGTCACTATCAAAGTTTGCACGAGTCGTCCTTCCCCTTGCGCCATCAGAAGTCTTGATTTTGAGGGGTAACAACTTTAAATTGAGAAAACGACCGGGAAATGTAACAAGGCCAGAAATGCTGGCGATGTCTGAATCAAAAGAAATTAACGAGGCAGTCGAAGAGTTTTACACATCTGTAATGTTACCTCAAGTTTCAAAATTCTTGGACCCATCAAAATATCCGTGGAAAGAATGGATTGAGAAATTGGATGCGCACACAAGTATACCAAGTGACCAATTGAATGAGGTCAGGAAGGCGTGGAAAACATGGAAAGACAATATTCAGAAGAGAGTTAGTGCCCATCCATCATAATAGATGCAAGGTAACTTTTATTTTCTTATGCTTGCATCAGTTTCATCCGAATTTTTCTTTGAACCCATGCCAAAACAGGGTTGACTTTTACTTCTATTCCTTACTGATCTATAAAAGGAAGAATACTTCTTCATATTACTTCTGATTGTCCTGCCGAATTATTTGTGCCCCGTGATATATTTGTAGCAGAAATATTTGATGCTATGTGTATCCTTTTCAGTACTGGACCTGGAGTTTAGTGTTCAATCTATTTTGATCGCTGAGCTATCTGAATGGACAATGGTGTTGACCTTATGCTCGTGCTGGAATCGTTTGGGTGCAAATTTGCTTGAACAGCTCACGGAGAACTGAAATGCTTCGTCAAGCATTCACAATTGAAACAAACATCAGCAGATTCGACTCCTCTCAATTTTCTGGCAATTCAGAAAGAGAAAAGAAAATTTTTATACGCCCTCCCCCCCCCCCCCAAAGACACTGAGAGCATCCAATTTCCTTACAGGCATTTCTTAATTCTAAAAGCAACATGTTAGTAGCTTATACAGAATACGCTATAATGTCATTTTCTTTTTCCCAGAATTCCCAGAAACATGAACTCTTAATTATCTGTTTAACAACCTCTTGCCTCTGGAAATGTTGTTGGTCCTCGTAGCCAACCCTCTATGCGGGTTATTATATCTTCCAATACCAGCGGAATGAGAGAAAAGGAAAAAAAAAAAATGGATCTGTTAGTACAGACATCTGTTGACAAGGCAACCTAAAATAGTTGTCTTTCAATTAAAAAAAATAGTTTTTAGAAGAAAAGAAGCTCCACATTTACAGACCAACATATATTGTTACCTAATGACATCAATATATTATAGAGGCTTGGATGAAAGATAGTTCATGATGGATATCAAATGTTCGCAAAATAATGGCTCCCTTCTTCAATAAAAGAAACTCTTCAAGAATAATCCCAATAAACACTAATATATAAAGGCTGTTACACGCTCACGATTTAAGACTTTTTAGATTGTAATGCTGCATTACCTTTCAAATAAATTCCATTATCGTGGAAAATTTTTCAAAATAGATTGAAAAAATGCTGAAATGCATTTGGGTTTAATTTAAGTATAAAAATGAAATGCCAACAAATGTTGCTATAATATTCTACAAATACTCGAACTTAATCTTACTGCGCATGTGAAAATTTTGTTAATAGGTACTAATTTGTAAGCATAAGCATTATTTAAGCTATGAGATATATCCTAACTCATCTAGCATGCCTTTGAGGCTTAACTCTTCTAACTGTATTCTTATAAACAAAAATAGTATGTTTTTGGTTTTTTTTAATGGAATGATCCTCCATGTCTCCTTTCGACATTTAAATTCAGACACGCTTGAGCATATCCTATTTCTTTCACAATCGAGGGCAATAAAATACTCAGTGATGAATTATAATTAACTATTTTTAGTTACAACTATTTCGGAGTTAGAGCGTGGGGGGTTGAAAGTTGATTATTATTAGCTTATCCCCCAACACTGTTGCTGAAGAAGAGCTTAATTAGTACGCGGTGGTTTACATGTTCCCAGATCATTTCTCTTCATCATCGTGAAAGGCTTTCTCACTGGAACTAGATTACACGACAGCTCCACAAAATTTATTATTATCTTACAATATTACATAACTGATGACTCATTAATGCTGCGGAAGGCAAACACTTGGCCATCTGAATGAAATATTAAAAGGATGAAATTAAAACTTTAAAAGGACAGACTGAAATTAAGAAATAACAATAAATTAACAAAATTTAAACCCCAAGAGTCGCTAGCTGGATATCATTCAATAATTAATTATATATTGCTTAATTTTCAAGTTCCTTCCAGCTTTGGATAGCTTGAGACACTGCTCGTTCAACTAGTTGCGCTTTCATATGGCCAGTCTCTTCATCGTCCTTCTGGTTTACAATCCATAAATAATTGTGTTAGTGACTACCAATTGATAAGCCAATCTAGCACGAACAAGGCTGAGTTATTCAATGATATAGAGAAACCATATACTTATACGCATAGGAGATTTTGTGTGTGTGTTTGAAACAAAGAGTGTTGATAAGATCTCATTACTTGGGTTCCAGTTACTGCTTCTAAACAAAAGCTTTCCGCACAAGAAACCCTAGCTTGGAGAACATCAAGGCCCAGCTCTTCAATGGCTTGCAAGACGAACACCAGCAACCCCTCGCAACTTCTTTGGCTCAACACTTTTATCATGAACCCTTCCTCTCGTTCTTCAACTGTAACCTGACATTATTTCACAAACATAAACTAGCATTTCAGCAAAAGTTTATATGAATCAATAATCTCAAAAGCTAAACGGCGAAAGAGAAAAAATGGCCCGGATGATGATAAACTTTTGGTTCATTAACTAATATATTCATACCATGGGCACTGGATCGTTGTCGATGAGGTTTCGTGATGCAGCAATTGCTTGATTCAATTCTTCCAGCGTCTGCCTCACTGATTGTAAGTACACTGACGCATCTAATATTACAGATGATGAGGCTTTACGCTTCCGCTGCATGAACCCAGAAGAAAGTTAATATCCATCAACATAATATTATATATCAGGTTTTGATCTCATCATAATTATATAAGTTAAGGATAAAATATAATTGACCAATAGATATGTTGGAAAAGAAGAGAATCTCCTTTGAATGACTTGAACTTTTAATCACCGAATTCAGTGATAAACATTTGCGTACATTAATCGCAGCTGCAGGCACGTACAGACATATAGAACTTACATGTCCAGAAATATTATATATCGAAGGTGATGACCGATAAATTGTAACACAGACAAGTTAATGAGAAAAGGTGAAGAGCATCGATCTCAAACACAATCAGATGTGAATACTGATTTAAAAAGGTTAAAGAGACATCATGCGCGCGTGCGTACGTAGGAGGAATTGGAATTTGATTTGTCTGTTTGTTAAGGTTTTAATTAACGAGGAATTTCATCGTAGGTATAGAAAGCAAAATTTAGATGAAGAAAGAGATGTTTGAGAGAGTAATACCTGGTGGGAGTTGATGATTGAACGAAGGAATTGTAGGTTCCTATACATGGCTGTTCTCTTGTCATTTCCTCTGAACGAAACCATTCTCTCTCTCTCTCTCTCTCTCAAGCACACTCTTTCTTCAGAGAGATTTGAGAGGACCATACAAACACAAACTAGACTGGATGCTTTTATAAATAGAAACTTGAGGACACAGAATGTTGATTCAGCCACATGTGATGAGGTTTTGGAACTACCATACGTACCTTAAGTTTCAACTTCGAGGCCATTCCTTGTTGTTATTCTCTCGTGCACGTTACTTTCAATATTATTTCTATCAATTTTCTTGTCCAGCTCACTATTAGGTCTTTGACACGCCAGATTTCTATTGCAATAAACAAATCAATAGGTAATTTTATGCCTTGTTTTGGTATTTTCTCGAATTATTGTTCATATGTTTATATTATAATTGTTATGCTGAGTTCATTACGAGGAAAAATAAATTAATTGACCTGAATTTTAATTGATCCTCCTTGATATACTGGATGATTATCAATACTTGAAATTAAAGGAGGAGGTCGATTTTTAAAATTAAAAAAAAAACAAGAAGAAAAGAGTGGTGCAAAAATATGAACAATTTTAAACGTACTTTTCAATGAGGTATATTTATTACATATACCAAGTTTTTTTCCCATTTATATACTATATTATACCCGACACATGTAATGTTTAGCTGGGAACATAATAGCCAATACCTCTGAACGTTGCCTAGATCTATATATCTAGCTCAATATGATTCACGGGTGTTGAGTTTGATTTTGTCATGATCTGATACTATTCTGTTTTGCTTCAATTTGGTGAACAGAAAAACACAAATTTCTAAAATTTCTGCCTTAAGTTCTAAGATTCCGAAATTTTTGAGATTTGAATTCATTTATAACATCAATTTGCCCTTTCCATCCTTCAATTTCAAATTTGGAAACTTCGCTTAAGAGCCTATTAAATATTATTTAACCTATTCACATGGGAAACAAACAATATAATATGATAACCAACAAATTAGTTACGTACACATTCACCTTGTCTGCTTATAATCAAAGCAGTCAAAAACAGTAGTAAAAATAGACAAAAAGTTGTAGCGATAGCTAATATGCACTAACTAGTCAGTGATGGTGAGAATTATTTTATTATGAATATATATGTTTGAATATGATAGAGGAAGGTGGGAAGAAGGTAGGGTCAGTAAATAATTAAAGGAGAAAAATTAAAACAGTGAAAGCATATGTGAAAGTGATGAAATTAAAGAGACATTCTGTTAGAGAAAAATTAAAGGGAATTGGTGGGGTTGAAGAAAAAGGAAGGAGACAATAAGGAATCTTTTTGCTGGTCTGGGGACACCAAGCAGCAGCAGAGAGCTAATACTGTCAAGAAAAAGAGATCACACTCCAAGCTTTGCTCACGAGCACCAGATTCTCTCTCTCTCTCTCTCTCTCTCTCTCTCTCTCTCTGTGCGCGCGCGCGCGCTCTTCTTTGGTCTCATTATTATCACTGCCCTAACCAAACTGTGCAATTTGTTAGACAAATCGAAGCCACTTTAGTAGTGTACTATAATATTAATGATGTTTTTTTAACCTGTTTATTGATGTCATATATATGCATGTTCTAATTAATTATATCAGATTTCTGAACCCTAAAAATATACCAAAACGAACCTGCACACTGTAACTTGTAAATGCTAATTAAGTATTATCTTTACTCATTAATATAAGATCTCGTTTAACTTTTATTTTGGTTCTAAATATAAAACTCTAATTCACTTTATCTCTCATATCTATCTATTATTTTTTAAAGTAGTTCTTATAATAATCATAGTTCTAACCGATACATTTGATTAATTAGGATATTTTAAGAAAAAAAATATCCATTTATTACAAATAACTAACTTAATTAATTTTCTTATTCTGCTCAAGTTAGTCAATTTTAGGGGTAGTATATAAACTAATGCAAGTTTGGGCTGTTTGGCTATAGCTAGCTCTGCCTTATTGTTTTTACTTCTGTTATATATCTTGACCTTTCAACTCGGTCTCTCTTGGTTTTCATTCTCCATCAGATACACAATGATTAAGAATATATAAACACTTGATTAATTGGCTAGATATATAGGACTATACACTGCGATATGCTTATTAGAAAGATGCATAAATGTCTTACTATTTATGATGAACGAGTAATAACTTTAGCGATAAAAGATGTGTGAAAGTGACATCATGGTTATCGATAAAATCATCGGACAACACAGACCAAGAAAATTAATCATGCAGGAGCTGTAGAGACAGCAGTGATGGTTTGTGGAAGAAATAATGAGGAAATCATACAAGTCGACAATATATGCCAGCAGAAAATTTCAGAGGCAAGGAGACACGGCAGTGATCATTATTTTGGCTGAAGAATAACTATGTTGTTACAAAACCCTGTCATCTAAGTAGGTTTCTGTAAAAAGGACAGTGAGTATTGAATCAATCATATATATAAGGGTGTGCCTAGCTAGGTGGTTGGCCAAAGAAAAAAAATTAATTAAATAAACTAGTCGGGTCCTGGGGAATTCGGACGGTAAAATATAGGCTCTTTTTTTTTTGGGAAAAAAAGCCGCTTATATGAGCTGCTGTCTCTCTAAACCTACTTTTGCGTTTAAAGAACTTACTTACTATAGATATACCCTCTCTCTCTCTCTCTCTATATATATATATATAACATTCTTGCTCAGTATATATTATATTTATATTTGCGCATATATATTTGTGTAGTGATTAATAATTGAATAAACTAATTAACGAAATAATTAAGAAATTCAAGTGGGCCATATATGTACTAAAATGGAACAAGACTTGAAAATGGTCCATGAGTTCACGGACTAGCATTATCTCATGAAACAAGCAACATTCTACAAGGCATGGACCATATTCCACCATTATTTGCAATCTTCCTGCATTATTTTCATTATTTGTTTATTAAATATTAATTAGTCATTAATTATGTTAAATGGATAAGAAATAATAGTGTAAGATCTCATAATTTCTTCCAAATTGACAGCGTTCCACGCGCTCTGTGTCTCGTCAACCATACAGATAATAAAACATCCAAACTTACAAGGCATACGGAATATTTAGATCATTAAATCAAAACTAGATAAATGTTAATTGAATTTTCTGTTGTATCATATCGATCATAAGCTTCTTTTTTTTTTTTTTATGACCACTTATCAGATAACGCTCAATGCGATAGACAGATGGATTAGAACTAGAGGGAGTATAATATCTAGCACTATCTAAGTTATTTTGAACCGTATCATGTTTCGGTGTAATAAAATCTAATTAATGCGAGGAAGATGAATGTTTTTCATGATTTCTAGTATTTAATACTCATATTGCCCAATTTGCACTCTTGCAGTCATTAATTTCTAAATAAGATTCATCTATTTATGAAGAAAAACAAGTCATTTAACTTGTCAAAAATACTATGACTTTTAGTGATCTTTAATACTTTTAGTTCCTGATTTTGCAAATAAGATTCATCGTTTTACTATAAGGGCATACTAGTATAAGTTCATTATTTTGGTCAAATCACTTTAAAAAAATTCTTATTTTGAATTTCAATTTTTTATTTCTTTAAATAGAATTAAAATTTAATATGTTAGTCCCTAAATTTTATTTCCTTTCATACAAGGCTCTAAGAAAAAAAAAAATGTTTCTGACGGCATAAACCCATTTCCGTGGAGATTTTGGGAATATATGGTGCTGAGGTTTGTCGAAGAGTATGAATGTGAATATATGATTTGAGTGTGAAGAACATAAGAAACACAACTCATTACATTATTGTACTTCGACGGATGTCTTGCAGCTGGCAAATTGCGAGAGTACGCGTGTGATGCCTCAATTGGTCGGCCCAAAAATTTTAAGACCTACTTACCATAGATATACGCCGTTTATATGTAATTTCAAAATGATCGTGAAAATGAAAAGCACAAAAATACCTAATTAAAAGAATCTTGTCATAAAAAAAAAAAACTCCATCTAAGCTTTCATAAATTAGTTAATTGTAATAAATGTGACATAATCTTCTTATAATATTTTTGTATAATGTTAGATTATATATTAGTTGATAAATTAGGTAAATTATTTTGAAAAAAAAATAATATGAGAATTAAAGCTGATCAAGATTTTATATTTTAAGACCAGGTCCAGTCTTGCAACTAGATGAAATACCTAATTTCATATTACAGCCAATCTTAAATATAACGTATGGTCTGTAGTAAAATAAATAAATTTTATATTTAAAACCGGAGTTGGTAAAATAATATTATGAGTGATGCATATAATTAAGGGAATTAGAGCCTCAAATCTTGATTTCCTCTTATATGTCATAAAAACAGAATGAACAGCATGCCATTGCCCCAGGGGGTTGCCATGTTTGAGTAAAGTTTGGAAAGGGGTCCAATTAAGCTGCATGTACTGCACCCAGAACAAAAACAAACATATACTTAACTAAAATGTAATCCAAAATCTAGAAGGACAGACGGTAATTAAGGAGCATGGATTCACATTTTCACTTTGACGTGACGACTTATCCCTATCAATGCTCACAATTAACCAAACAGTCGTATATATGCAAGTGTCTCCTTTTTCCAAAATCTCATATATATGGTCCTATTTTGATTATTCAATACCTAGCCTCGTATGACTCTTCAGTTATAAGTACTATGTTATACTGTTTTTAGTGCTTAATGTAAGATCCAGTTGATTGATTAAGAAACACCAAAAAAAATTATCACATTACTTAATTGTAGCATATGTTACTTGATCTCTATAAAATATTTATGTATATTATTTGATTATATGTCAATTTATAAATGAGATAATTATTTAAGAAAAAAATATGACAAGTTCCCGAAATCAAACTCAATATTTTGTTTGAAAATAAAAAGATTTTTTTTTCTTATAACGTGGGGCTTTATGCTTTAAGTTCTCTGGACGATTAGAAAGTATATGAAATCTAAAACGCTCTGGACAGTTGATGGATAAAATTTATTTCTTTTGGCGGGTCACACATGGATCCAACTTGCATTGTCTAGAATCCCTTTGCCTATTACAGGCCTATC